GACAGTCAACTCATTAACTGCTTATCCTACAGATAGTGTGCCTGGAACGCTCTCTCCCCGGGTACACAGGTGGTTGGGTAATAAACTCAGGAATTTCAAGTGGTGAATTTTTAGTTTAAGCACAAATTTGAGAGAACAAAGGAGACGGCTCCAAAATGGAGTCATTTTGGTCCCACATTATCACCTGGATCAGGCAGAATTCATGAAGGCTGGCCTGGTCCCAGCCAATCACTGAAGATAATTCTTTGCTTCTGGAATTGTGAACAATTTTGTTGGAATTGTCAATAGTGCCAAAAAGAAAATCTTGCTATAATCCCAGTGACTAGGGAGACTAAGGCAGAGAAAAGCAAGTTTGAGGTCAGAGTTGGCAATTTAGTGAGACTTTTGTCTAAAAATAAAAAGGGCTGGGGATGTAGCTCAGTGGTAGAATACTTGCCTACCATGGTTGGAGCCCTGGGTTCTCTAGTACGACCTCAAAGCAACACAACAAAATCTTTACAATTTGCTATGTATGAGTAACATTAAGTTTTCACCAAGTGCTTTAATGGCTAGTGGACATTATCCATGGGCAAATTCCCTAAGACATTAATTACAAATTTCACTCTCATTCTAATATATAAACTGTTTAACATAATACAAGTACCTTTCATTAGAAAATAGGAAGCCTCCAAAAATTTTTTGTTCTCTACAGCAACACTGCTCTTTTCAGAAAGAAGTGGCCAACTCTGCATTAAGATACAATATAATACAATAGAATTACACTGCCACTGGAGCAGAAATCCCTCCTCATCCATTGGATCCTGGCTAAGGTTTTGTGGCCCATTGGACTAAGACACTTGAGATTTCCCCCTAAACTGAAGCCTAAGGAAGATGCCTGAGAGTTGGAATCTTTTCATGGTGTCCATGGTCTCTGGACTTCTGCCCAAGTTCATGTATCTTACTGATACTGAAAATATGTATTAAGATGTACTAATAATGTAAAAATATCAGTTAAGTGTCTTATTTCCTGAGTAAACGTCTTGCAAAGGAGCCCAAATCCTGGCTTTTAAGCTAAGATCTGATCCTTTATCTTGGTCAGTCTCAGGGTTTAATAGCCCAGTGTTGGGGTGTTCTTTGCAAGTCAAATGCTCATGTGCATATATGGGTGTGTATATGCTGGCGATCTGTGGAGTTACAGCAAGTTCAGGGTGCACAGGCAGAGCACAGGGAAAGCACATTAGCTATCCTATCCAACATGGTGCACCTCATGCAGTTCAGGGACTTCACGTTTCTTTTTTTTTTTGGTACCAGGGATCGAACTCAGGACCTTACGCTTGCAAGGAGGCAGCCACACCACTGAACTAAATCCCCGGCTTTACATGTTTCTTTTTTTTTGGTGCCAGGGATCGAACTCAGGTCCTTGAGCTTGCAAGGCAGGCAGCGGAACCACTGAGCTAAATCCCCAGCCCCATACATATTTTCGTTTTACAGTACTGAGGAAAGAACTCAGGGAGTGCTGAACCTGGTCCCCAGCACTCACCTCCACTTTTTTGTTTTGTTTTGTTACTGGGGATCGAACTCAGGACCTTGGGCTTTCAAGGCAGGCAGCAGCACCACTGAGTTAAATCCCCAGCCCTCACCTCCATTTCTATTTCTTTTTTTTGGGGGGAACTGGGGATCGAACTTGGGACCTTGTGCTTGCAAAGCAGGCAATGGAACCACTGAGCTAAATCCCTGGCCCCACTCACCACCATTTTTGAAAAGAAACAGGTTTCAAAAAAAAAAAAAAAAGGACACAGGTTTGGCTAAATTGGGCAGGCTGGCCTTGGACTTGTGATCCTGATTCATCCTGAACTATTTAACAATTCTGTTTAAAAACAACAACAAACCCAAGGGTTGAGATGTACCTCAGGGGTTAACAATCATAGGCTGGATCCCCAGTACCACAAAATACAAAAATTAAATGGGCAAAACTAATTCTTCCAGATGGCCTTTAGTATATGGTCTCTCTCTAGGGATGAAGCCCAGGGAAACACACAAATGTTCTACCACTGAGCCATAACTCCAAGCCCTCATCATTTCATTTAAAAATATACTATTTTTTTTAAAGCCAGTAGTGGTGGCGCACACCTGTGATCTCAGCACTTGGGAGGCTCAGGTAGGAGGACCACTGTTCTAGGCCAGTCCAGATTACACTGCAAGACCCTGTCCTCAAAACAAATCAACCACCAAAAACACACTTTCTTTTGTTGTTGTTGGCCAGGGATGATGGTGCATGCCTGTAATCCCAGCACCCAAGAGGCTGAGGAAGGAGAATCACCCCAAGTTTGATGCTAGGCTTGGGCTACAGGGCGAGTTCAAGGCCAGCCTGAGGTACGCTGTGAGACGCTGTGTTTCAACGACAACAAGAATAAAAAATTCTTCCAAGGAATACTATTAATAGCATCTTTTATTTAAAAGTTTATCTCCAGCTGGGTACGGTGGTAGATGCCAGAAATTCCAGCTACTCAGAAGGCTGAGGCAGGAGGATCACAAATTTGATTGTACCAAGAGTCTTTCGGAAAACAAAAACCAGCAGAGATGTAGCTTGTCAGTAGAGCACTTGCTCAGCATTTTCAAGGCCCTGAATTCAGACTTCAGCACTATCATTTTTTCCTTGAGAAAACACACTTTCAAAAAACCTATCATGTTTCATCTCCCCTTAAAGACATTCATACAATAAATATGTAATTATATAGAGGTTCCAGAAACCCTAAGAGCAGAAACATCAATTTAAGACAAAATGTGGTTTGAAAGAATTGGAGGTATTTTAATCTATCTCTTAGTAAGAGCTCTGTAGATTCCATTTAGTTTAAGTCACATGAAAAAGTCATTTACATTCTCAAATTCACCTAGTTAGAATATCAGGCCATTATTTTATCAAAATAACCTGAAGTAAAACAAAATGAAATAAAGCCAACTCTTAACATAGCACATATTTTTATGACAGTGAAACATTCCACTATGTTTTCTAAATAAAAAAATTTAATCATCTGCTACAGATTCAATTCAGTTTTGGGGGTTTTTTTGGTACCGGGGATCAAACTCAGGACCTTGGGTTTTCGAGGCAGGTATGGTGCCACTGAGCTAAATCCAGGGCCCCAATTCAGTTTTCACTACTAACCTGATAATGACAATGTCACTGAATCCTGTATTCTTTAAAGCAGGGTTTCTCAAACTGGTCATTACAGGCATTTGGGGCTAAATAATTCTTTGTTGTAAGGAACTACCCTACGCAGCACAGATAATTCAGCAACATCCTAGGCCTCCAGCAACTAACTGCCAGCAGCACCCACCCAACTATACACCTGAAAACATCTCCAAACAATGCCAAATGTTCTTTGTAGGATAAATTCATCCACTGAGAACCTCTGTTGCAGAGCATATGATATTCCCTTCCTTTGTCATTCAACAGTGAAAATCAGCTTTTAAACATCCACTACAATTCTGAAGGAAGTACAAAGCTTAATAAAAAAATTATTTTCAGGGCTCGGGATTTAGCTCAGTGGTTCTGCTGCCTCGAAAGCCCAAGGTCCCAAGTTCGATCCCTGGTACCAAAAAAAAAAAAGTTATTTTCAATTAAAGAATACTTAAGGCATCATACTGACATCTACTGGCCTGGTACTAAACCGTATATCTGACATGCCTTTATTTTTTTTTTTACACTTTCAAAATTAAAAGTAATATAGATGCTACTTTGGGAAAGTAGAACGATTAAATGAAAGCAGTAACATTAACTTTAAGGCTATTAATGTTATGCAAAGCCTAACAAATATAATAATACTAGTTATCTATTGCTTTTTTAGTTTTCGATAATCCTATCTTTTGGATGAACTGATTTTTTTTTTTGAGACAGGGTCTGGCTGTGTAGTTCAGGCTGGCCTTCAACTCGAGATGATCCTCTGGCCTCAGACTCCCAAGTGCTGGGATTTACACGCAGGCACCAGCACACCTGGTTCTTGAACTGAAGTTTTTTGTTTTTTGTTTTTGTACTGGGGATCAAACTCCAGTCCTTGAGTTTGCAAGGCAGGAGACAGAACCACTGAGCTAAATCCCCAGCCCCTTGAACTGAATTTTTAATAAATGCTTTTAGAGACTAATAATTAAGAGGGAATATTTTGGTGACAAAAAAATCTGGTTCAAAAAACTAGCAAAAAATAAGCAGCATACTATTTTATGATTTATGCTAGAATTAAAAAGATGGACTATAAAATAAAGCTAATATTCTATAAATAAAATCAAATTTTTCTAGGGATTTTAATAAAAGACATTTGTTAATTAAATATTGTCAATTAAACTGATGAACTTTATTGGGGTTAAAACTATAACAAAGTTCATCCTAAAACATTTTGCAATGCAAAATTATTTCACTCAAGGAGTGTTTAATCAATTTGAACACTAGAAATTACAAGCAATTTTCAAAAGCAAACACATAAAACTTTATACATCATTTGAACTAACATTTATACTACTAAAATCAAACATGCATCACCACCAAATATTCTTGTATCATGATTTTTTATATATTACATTATTTAACATCACTCCTCATCACTATATGAATTTTATCATACACTTGCACCATTTTCCTTGGATTTCTGATCTTTGTCTTCATTTTTTATATTATCCTATAAAACAACAAGGAAAAATTATATTAGATTCTATTAAATTTTACTTTTAAGATATAAGCATATTCAGTTTTTAATATCTTAGTGCCAAAGCATTTTCCTAAATTCTGTCCAACTATAAATGAGTTTAAAAGAAATTCTCAGAACTGCAAAAAACAACAAAAAAAACAAAACAAATACATACATACAAAAGAAAGGGATAGCTTTATCTTCCTTAAGTTCAAACCCACTCTCCAATTCTATTATTTCCTCTTTTTTGGGGGGAGGTAGGTACCAGGGATCGAATTCAGGACCTTGCGCTTGTGAGGCAGGCGCAAGTGCCACTGAGCTAAATCCCCAGCCCCTCCACTCTCTAGTTCTGAAAGAAATAAAAAATAAAACCTTCCCCTCCTGCTTAGGGTGCTGCAGTCCATCCCAGGGCTTCCTTTACACACACTACGCACATAATGAGTTAAGCCCAGTCCCAAATCTGCTTAAGGAAATTTGTACACATAACTCATGTTGACATGCCATGTTTTAGGCAAATGCAATCATTTGGGAATTATGTTGACTAATCTTAAAGAGGGAATGCTACCATTATTTGCTTCTCAGAACAACCACAAAGAACAGAATAACATTAAAGTGCCAGAAACATTTCAAAATTTAAACAAACTAAAAATATTTAAAGTAAAAATTTCTTGGGGTGGGGATTTAGCTCAGTGGCACCGTGCCTGCCCTGCAAGTGCAAGGTCTTGAGTTTGATCCCCAGTACTGGAAAAAAAAAAAAAAGTAAAAATTTCTTACCTTCTTGAGAACAGTGTGGATTTCATCCATTACTGTAGATAAATTTCTGATTGTCTTATTCAATTGATTTTCAAACTGCAAATTCATGTTTTCAGAAACCTTCAAGTTTTCTTGTAACTGATTAAGGTCCTTTTTAACTTCTCTGAGTTCACCAGAGAGGTTTTTGTTGGAAATTTCCAAATTTAATATTGTTTTTTGATCTTCATCTGTTAAAGATAAAATTTCCATTTAACTTTCAGGTTAAAAGTATTTAAGCTATAGGGCTGGGGATTTAGCTCAGTGGCACTGTGCCTGCTTCACAAGCACAAGGTCCTGAGTTTGATCCCCAGTACAAAATCAAAGTATTTAAGCTATAGCCAGGTGTGGTGTCACACTCCTGTAATTCCAGCCTCAGAAAGCTGAGGCAGGAGGCTCACAAATTAGAGGCAAACTGGGTCTACATAGTGAGTTCAACATTAGTATGGATTATATAATGAGACCCTCCCTCAACAACAACAACGACAACAACAACAAGCTATAGAAAAAAAGCAGATTAAAAACAAATTTTAGTACTTCTAAAGCACAATGCAATGCATATTAATTTCATTAAAATATTAAGTCTTAGGGGCCAGGGATCTAGCTCAGTGGCAGTGTTGCCTGCCTTGCAAGTGCAAGGTCCTGACTTTGATCCCCAGTACTGCAAAACAAAACAAAATGTAAGTCTTAAGTACTATTACTGTATTGGTAAACACAGGATGTATTTTTAAATGACTATATAAACTAGAAGAAATAGAAAGGAGTCAGGTGTTTCACACAGCCCTATCCCAGCATTTGGGTGGCTGAAGCAGGAGGTTAACAGCTTGATGACAGCCTGGGCTACCAGTAAACTCGAGGCCAGCCTGAACTGCACAGTGAGACCTTGTCTCCAAAAAACAAACAAACAAAAACAGGTAAAAACTAAGAGGTACTAGAAAGAGGTTTGAAAGGATATAAAACAAGTGAAACATGGGAATGTTCATGAACAGGTAAGATTCTTATAAAGCTAAGCACATTTGTAACCTGCAACAGAAATCATCAAAAGTTGTCTAGACTAAAATTTAAGATATGCCTATAACACACACAACAAGGTTTTAATTTATTCTATTACTGGGGATTGAACCCAGGGCCTCACACACACCAGGCAAGCTACAACTCCAGTCCTTTTTGAGACAGGTTCTTGTTAAATTTTGGCTGGCCTCAAATTTACCATCTACCTGTCTCAGCTTTCCAAGTAGCTGGGATTACAGCCATGTATCACCACACTAGGCTCCAAAAGGATCTTAAAATATTAACATACCCAATGTTGTACCTCACCTGTTTTTTCTTCTAGTAATTGTAGCTTCTGTTCTACTTCAGCTCTTACTTTTTCACTCTTTTCCAATTTTTGCAAGAGACTTCCTACATCTACCATTGCACCATTATATACAATAAGTCCTACATTTTCTTCTATGTCCTTTAATTCCTGTTTTACTGTTGGTGTTGGAAGTAACAACCTGTTGCCTACAACAGAAAAGATATTACATTTTAGAAAGATATTTGTTTTTAACTAATGGATAACATACTTATAAAAAAGCCAAGAGCATGAAATATACTCAAACCTAGCATATCTTCCTGCAATGATTCAGACTCTTCATGATTTTCTTCATCTTTTGAAGTATCTGTTAATTTCCGATAAAAGCAAGATTCACGAAGTACTACTTTATTAAGAAGTTTCTTTACCTATTACACAAGCAAATAAGCACATTAATAAGATAAAAATGTTTTTTGATTCTCTTACAACAACTGTATTCTAATTTTCACAAACGAATATCCATGGAAACTATTTTCTTGGATATTCATTTACTACTCAATTAAAGTAGTTACTCTTTTTTTTCTGGTACCAGAGATTGAACTCGGAACCTTGAGCTGCCAGGCACCGGAACCACTGAGCTAAATCCCTGGCCCCAAGCAGTTATTCTTTTTTTTTTTTTTTTGCAGTTATTCTTTTAAAGTGTCTTCTTTGTAAATCTAAGAAGAGGGGGAAAATCACATTAAAATAAATGTAAAAGGATGTTTATTACAACATAATTTGTAATTCCAAAAAACAGAAACCACAAGTAATGAGAAGCTATGTCTATTGTGGTACACCTGCACAAAAGAACACTATGCACCAATAAGAATAAGGCAGGTCTGCATTGTCATGGCAAAATGTCTAAGTTATAATACAAATAAAAAAGGGACCATCAATACATATATAAAAATTTCATGGTTTATAAATGGGGAACTATCAGCCAGGTGTGGTGTGACACACCTGTAATCTCAGCATTCTGGAAGGGTGAGGAGAGAGGATTGTAAGTTTGAATCCAGCTTGGACCACTCAGTGAGACTCTCAAAATTTAAAAAGGGCTGGGAATGTAGCTTAGTGGAAAGGCGCTGAACGTGATCACCAGTATTGCCTCTCCAAAAAATGGGGACTATTGCTTACAAAAAGAATTAAAAGGTTGTATTTTAATTCTGAGGCACAGAACTAGAGCAAGAAGAAGTAACTTCTAATGTTTTTACCTTACACAATGCTGTAACAAGTATTGTATGATTGTTTAACAATTAGCCTGGACGGTTTGCTTCTATACATCACAAAGTCAAAGTCAATGGGGATTAAAAAGAAAGATGAAGAACTGGGGATGTAGCTCAATAGAGCACCTGCATAGCATATGCAAACCTTTGGGTTTGATCCCACCGTGAGGATAAGGAAAGGTTACTAAATGCTATCATTTTAGATTTACAAAATAGTCTACCTGAGCTCGAGAAAGATGTAGTCCCAGAGTATAGAGTATTTCTTCCAAATCTTTTTCAAGAAGGTAACCACAATGGCTTTGATCAAAATAAACAAAGGCCATTAAGAGATCCCTGTTAATTGTGATCATTTGAGTCTTTTCTTTTTCCTAAAGGAAATGTAGAAGACATAGAATTTTTTTATGATCAAAAACAAAACATTATGTCCATATAAAAGTAGTTTAAAAAAGATATTTGCCTTATCTTAGCTAAAACAAATTGACTTCATATGTGAATATAGAAGAAAAGAAAATGAGACATATTGGTTATCTGACATTGCCACAAATACTAAAGAACAGTAAAGTGAATTTTGTTTACTGGTAATATACAGACACACAAGGACCACTAAACTTTATGACATTAGGTTTAAAAATAAATTTAGATCATATAAGATATGGAAATCCCATTATAAAGAGTACAGTATTTAGTAAATACCTTATCTTTAGATGGCTTCTCCTTGCAATACCTGTTGATATCTCTTTTGTCATCTCGTTTATTCATTTCTTCCTCATCGTGATCTGTAAAATAAGTGTGATAGAACAAAAACTCTTTTTCTGGGGGGTTGGTGGTGGATTTTTTTTTTTGGAGACAGGGTCTGGCTCTGTGATATAAGCTGGCCTCAAACTTGATGCAATCCTCCTGTCTCAGCCTCCCAGGTGCTGGAATTACAGGCATGCACCACCATGTTTGTCAGGGTAAAAAAAAAATTTTAATACAAGTATTGTAAACTTTGGTAGAAATCAAAACTACTGAGGGCTGGGGATTTAGCTCAGTGGTGCCACGCCTCTCTCTCAAGTGCAAGGTCATGAGTTTGATCCCCAGCACGACAAAAAAAAAAAAAAAGAAGAAATCAAAACTAATGTATTGAAGAAAAAAAATCCCAAATGATGAAACAGCAAGAAATATATGAATAAAAATAGTTTTAGGGTGGACATGATTATAAGCCTAGCATTCTGGGAGGTTGAAGCAGGAGAATTCCAAGCTCAAGTCCAGCCTGGGCAACATGGCAACTTAGTGAGACACTGTCTAAAAAAAGATTTTTTTTTTGTACCTGAGATCGAACTCGGGACCTTACGCTTGCGTGGCTGGCGCCGGAACCACTGAGCTAAATCCCTGGCCTGTCTAAAAACTTTTAAAAGGGTTGGGAATGTAGTTCAGTGTGAAGTGTAATCCCCAGTACTACCAAAAAACCCCAACAAAAAACAAAAACACAAAAAACAACCACCAACTTTTAATGTTACATGAAAGAATTACAGAACTTTAAAAATAGAAAGAAATTATAAACAGTAACCAGCAGTGGCACATGCCAATAATCTCAGGTACTAGGGAGGCTGAGGAAGGAGGATAACAAATTTGGGTTCAGTGTGAGCAACTCAGCAATAAGGGAAATCCTACCTCAAAATAAAAAAGAGACAGAGATACCTTAGTGTAGAGGCCCTGGATTCAATCCTCAGTACCACAAACAAAAATAAACAGGAAAGCAAGCAAGCTCTAAATGCACCCAGACAGCAACAGCTTTTGAGATACTAAAAAGCTTTTTATCTTCTTAAATACTTCACATTATAGTCCCTTCCTGGACACCCACAATATACATTAGTAGCTAAACAAGCCAACCTTTGCTTAACAAACAAATCTTTGGTTTTTTAAGACAGGGTCTTGCTATATAGCTTAGGCTGGCCTTGAACTCCTGACAATTCTGTCTCTGCCTCCCAAGAACTAGGATTATAGGCATGGCCCACCAAGTCTGGCAGATTAAATAAAATTTTTGCCCTAATATATTTTATTAAGCTCGAGAGCAGTTAGTATCTTTGGACATTCTGGAAATATTGCATTACATCAGATGGTACACTGTATTTGAAAAGTTAAAACACACAGAACAACTTAAAAGAGGGCCAGGGATTTAGCTCAGTGGTTCTGCCGCCTGCCTCGAAAGTCCAAGGTCCCGATTTCGATCCCCGGTACCAAAAAAACCAAATCAAACGAATTTAAAAGAGAATAAAATACTAAAACATCCATGAATTCGCTAACACGGTAAGTAAACAAAACCAGTCACAAAAGGCCCGTAAATTATTTGACTCCATTTATGTGAAATGTCTACAATATACACAGAGACAGAGAGCAGACCAATGGCAAGCACCACTGCAAAGAAAGAAAAGAGCTATATAAAGTGCTGGAGTCTGAGGGTGCAGCTCAGTGGTACAGTGTGTGCTTAGCATGCAGGAAGCCCTGGGTTTGAACCCCAGCACCAATACATACATATATGCACGCATACACATATTCTATAAAGCACTAGAGACTATTACACCTCTTTTTTCTCTTTTGTTTTTTAAGACAGCATCATTATATAGCTCAGGCTGGCCTTGAACTTGAGGCAATCCTGGTTCAGCCTCCCTAGTGTTGGGATTACAGGCATGCACCACACCATGGCTGATTTATTACATCTTTTTGGATACAGATGAAGCACAAAATTGAGGGAAATTATTTTCATCAAGTTAGTTTATTAATAATATAAGGGACATACAATAATGTGTGAAAACCATCTCATGTAAAAATAAATAAAATGACTAATTTTTACTTAAGAACATTTAAAATTTTTTTATTATATATAATGAAATATATGCACAAAGAAAAACTATTTTCTCAATTCTAGGAAGTATTATGTAAATTTGAGTCATACCATCCTCATCATCCTCAGCTTCTTCTGCTTCCATTGGGTCATACTCATCTTGATTATTATCTTCTTCAGTTTCATCATCATCTTTAGAATCATCTTTTCTTTTATCTTCTTTCTATAATATAAAATGACAAAATGAAGCAAGATATTTCAACAAATCAACTGGAAAATGTTTAAGTTCATTCAATTTATTTATTTGAAAAATTTCAAATTGTTAATTTCTTCTAACAGCAAAACACTTAATAGGCTATTAAGGAACAGTTTAACTATGTTTTGTTTTGTTTTGTTTTTGGTACCAGGGATCAAACTTGGGTCCTTGCGCTTGCGCAGCAGGCAGCGAAACCACTGAGCTAAATCCCCGGCCCCAGGAAGTTTAACTATGAAGGCTTAATATTTTTGTTTTTGGTACTAGGGATCGAACTCAGGACCTTGCACTTGCCAGGCAGGCGCGAGCCGCTGAGCTACATCCCTGGCTACTTATTTTGAGACAGGATCTTCTCTATGCATCCCGCTGGCCTCCAACTTGTGGCGATCTTCCCTCCTTTGCTTCCCAAAAAAAGGGACAAATTTCTTTTTTTCTTTTGGTACCGGGGAACAAACTCGGGTCCTTGAGCTTGTGATGCAGGTGGCGGAACCACTGAGCTAAATCCCTGGCCTGGGACAAATTTCTAACAATGTATAAAACTTCATTTCAGGTTGGTCTTTATAATTTACCATTCTGATGGAAACATCATCATTTGGACACTGTAAAAGAAAACATTCAAATGTTGCCAATCGTATAAACAACTACAGACCTTCCTTTCATCTTTATCTTCTTTTTTATCTTTATCATCTCCTGATTTTCTCCGTTTGGGCTTTGGTTCATCAGTTTCATCATCTCTTTCTTCTTTCTTATCTTTTCTCTCATCTTTTTTGCTTTTCTTGTCCTTTTCTTTTTTGTCCTCTTTCTCAGGAAGAGACAGTAATGATTTGTATATTCTCACACCAAAATCTCTCTGAAGCATTTCATTGAAAAGTTCTGCAAACAATGAAACCTATAAAAAAAGATACCAAAATTAACTCAAATTCAATAGAAATATTGGATAAATCTAGCATTAGTGGGCTGGGGATTTAGCTCAGTGGTTCTGGTGCCTGCTTTTTAAGCGCAAGGTCCCAAGTTCAATCCCCAGTACAAAAAAAAAAAACAAAAAAAACTCTAGCATTAGTAACTAATCAGATAAAAACTCACCAAATCTAGTAATTTTAAACATAGTTATAATAATTGATGTCAGTGATGCTGAAATACTCAAAATCCTCAAAAGGATATTCTGAAGATACAATTTGGTTAAAATAATAAAAAATAATGGCTCCACAATAGAAACTTTGAAAATAAGTAGAAAGATTTCTATACCATCCAAACAAAACCAATAATTTTTACAATAAATACACTTTATTCACTGACTCAACAGATTTCTTTTTTCTTTCTCTTCGAGACAGGGTCTCACTAGGTAGTTCAGAATGGCTTTGAACTATGTAGCCCAAGCTGGCCTCAAACTCAAAGCAATATCCTGCCTCAGCCTTCTGAGCGCTGGGATTATAGGGAAGATACCACTATGCCTGGCTTCAACAAGTTTTAATCAGAAACCTATTCTACCAGGAACTGTTACAGGCACTAGGGATACAATAATGAAAAAAGAAAAAACAAAACTGATTTAGCCGGGGGTGGTGGCACAACAGGAGGCCAGCCTAGGCTACATAGTGAGTTCAAGACCAGCCTGAACTACACAGTGAGACTCTGACCAAAAAAACCAAATAAATATATGCATACAAACAAACAAAAAACAAAAAACTTCCTCTCATGCAACTCACAAATCTAGTGGAAAGAAGAATAACCCAATCAGCATATAAGAACAAGCACAAAGAGAATTAATTAACATGGAAGAATAGTCAAACAAAACTCTTGGATCAGCTAAGATTTGAAAAGTGACCAGGACCGGGATTTAGTTCAGTAGTTTCACCACCTGCTGTGCAAGAGCAAGGACCCGAGTTCGATCCCCAGTACCAATAAAAAAAAGTGACCAAAAGGCAGCAAAGAGATGAACCATACAGATATCTAGGAGAGTAATATTTCAAGAAGGGAAAACAATTCAAAGCCCTAAGTACAGAATATACATTATTATTCAGTGCCCCACAATAATGAGCTATAGCAAATCTGTGAATGTAAAATGATATACTAAATTTTCTATGTAAATATTTCTCATGCTATGGTCCGTTGATTTCAAAAGATTTTTGTTTGTTTTCTGTTTTTAAGACAGGATTTCCCAAGCCAGGTGCGGTGGTGCTTGCCTGTAATCCCAGCACTTGGGAAACTGAGGCAGGAGGATCACCTCCAGTTCAAGGCCTGCCTGGGCTACATACTGAGTTCAGGGCCAGCCTGAACTACAAAGGGAGACCTTGCCTCAAAAAACAAAGCAAAAAAAACCCCAAAAGAAAAAAAAAAAGACAGATTTCCCTACGTGGGCCATGCTGGCCTCAACCATCCTCCTACCTCAGCCCTCAGGCATTCTGCCACCATAATCAGCCCTCAACAGATTCTTAGGTAAAAGCGTCCCTAACTTGAAATGGTTGCCCATCACTGTAAAATGTTTAATCTATTTAGTACTACTCAGTACAACACTGATCAGGCTATCTTCCTGATCATAATGGATAATGCAATTAATTACAATTATAATTTTATAATTATTTTCTTCAGTTCATGGCCAATACTGACTTTCAAATAAAGAAATTTACTGTTAGTAAAATATTTAAGATGCTGCAAATTCCATTCTTTTAACCATTTATGTAAATTAAATTCCCATTTATGTAGAGAAATCTTTCCTTTAGTTGCCTCTTTTCCATTACCTAGAGACTGAAAGCAATAATGTTCAACTGAAGGAAGCCCAGAATGATAACTAAAAGAACAGGAATCTAGATCTCTCCACTTACATGTACTGAAAATTTGAGATACAACTACTATCGATATTAAATGAGCCAAAGTTAAATTGTACAATTATCTTAATTACTGAATGACTTATTTTATGTCTTATACTCTACTTTGAAGATACAGTGTATTAACTATTGTTATTCTCTTATGTAGAAAATTTTTTATAAAACAAACAATGATTTGGGCTGGGGATTTAGCTCAGTGGTTCCACTGCCTGACTTGCAAGTGCAAGGGCCTGAGTTCGATCCTTGGTACCAAAAAAAAAAAGGAATGATTTTTTTGAATTCATGTGTCAAAGTGACTTCTGTATTCAAATGCTAAATTAAAATAAAACTACCTAAAAATGATGGTGCATGCCTTAATCCTAGCACTCTGGCAAGGACAGACAAGAGGATCACAAGTCTGAGCCCTATGTGGACAACTTAGTGAGTTTGCGGAAAGCCTGCCTCAAAATTTTAAAAAGGCTCAGGATATAGCTCAAGTGAAGGCCATAAGTTCAATTCCCAGCACAGGAAAACAATACCAACCTACCAACCAACCAACCAAACAGAAACTAACCAAAGCGATATGTTAGTAGGGAGAAAAAAATTATCATTTTTCCAGCAAACAGCAGTTTCAAAAATTGCATGGTTTTCAGAGTGGTATTAGTTAGATAAGCAGTATACACACTTATAAGCAGAAAGTAACACCAAAAACTATATTATCTTGAAAGACTTACATTACATGGTAGGTACTATTAGGAGTTAACTATGTCAACTGTTACAAAAAAGGCAAAATGATAAAGTATCTAGTGTTTAAAGACACTGTATTGGGATTATTAATATATAAAAAGTCAGTAATAGCTAAGTATTTATAACCTGTTTCATATCAAGACCAATAAACATGCACTTGTTTACTGTACTGTGTGACTGAATACAAGGATTTGTTCATCATGGGCAAGAGCTTTAACACTGAAATACATCCCCAGGCCTTTTTTAGTTTTATATTGAGACAGGGTCTTGGCTTAGTTGCCCAGGCTGGCCTCGAATTTGCTATCTATATGCCTCAGCCTGTTATTTATCTTACCATTTGGTAGAAAATGGGCTCCTGAATCAATGAAACATGACTGATTTTTCTTAGGTGATTTATAAGGTTAAAGAAATGTGAGAAGACAGGCATGGTGACACATGAAGAGTAACTCTAGTTACTCCAGACATTTGGTTTGTTTTTTGTCTTTGAAACAGGGTCTCACTAGGTAGTCCAGGCTGGCCTTGGAACTCTCTGTGTAGCCGAGGCTGGCCTCAAAGTAGGAGAAATTTTCCTGCCTCAGCCTCGTGAGTGATGAGATCACAGGTGTGCAACACCACACCTGGCTACTCCAGCCATCCGGGAGGCTGAAACAAGAGGATTGTAAGTTTGAGGGTAGGTTAGTCAACCTAGCAAGACCTTGTCTCAAAAATATAAAAAATAGGGCCCGGGGATCTAGCTCATTGGTTCTGCCGCCTGCCTCACAAGCGCAAAGTCCCGAGTTTGATCCCCGGTACCAAAAAAATTAAAATAAATAAATAAAATAAAAAATAAAAAGGATTGGGGATGTAGCTCAGTGGTAGTGTCCTTGGGTTTGAGCCCAAGTACTGCAAAAAAGAAGTGGAAAAAAAAATTACCCTAAAAAGTTAATGCAAAAAGAATATGCAATATTATAGATAATGGAACTGTATGTGCTAATAGTAAAGGGGAAGTAATAAGTCAAAGAGTAATAAATCAACTGTTGCCTAGCCACAAAAAAGTGAAATATATTGAAAATATTCAATAACAGAACACAATCATAATTTTATAGAAAATTATGATTTTATAGAGTACTAAAAATTACTTAATATTTTTGGATATCTTATTAAAAGAATGAAGCAATTAACTAGGAATTTTCAATTGTTTATATAACATAAGCATAACTTTTACATATAAAACTGCTCTAAAAAATAAAAAGTAGATGCTTGTTGAAAAGATTAACATCAATTATTTTCTCTTCTAACTCAACTAATCATAAGTAAAATGTTCAGTTCCATTAAATGGTATTCTAATTCTAGGGAAAATAATAAAGCATTACCTCATCCTCTAGAGAGACACTAGATATTATGTATCTCCTGACATCCACCACCATTCATGAAACAGCCTTAAGAAAAACAGAACTGAACCTGAAAACTTGATTAAGAACTTAGACCCAAGTGTCAATTTACAGGAGATAAAGGACAGAGAACATGATTATACCATTAGAATGAAATTGAAAAAGCAAGTCTATAGGTAATTTAATTATGTTGTGTTTCTGTCACTAATTTTGAGAACACAAAATGAGAGCAATGAAAAAGCAAAAAGATTTGTAATATATTCACTAATAACGTGTAGACCTTATCTACGTGCTAATTCAAACTTAAAACATTACCTCAAATGAATGTTCTTTATTATCCTCTAATCTGTAATCCAAAAGGACACTCAAAGACATGATGCTACAATCAAACTTGCCACTTTTTGCAGCCCAATTTGGATGTACAATGATGGCTGGTTCATCAGGCAAAATGTATCTTCTTTCCCGACGCTGGCGCTCCATTTCCTCTTGGCGTTTCCTCTCTTCTTCCTATATATATAAAATTTTATGCCATGGTTGAACTTCCATGTATAATAGCAAAACTTATAACCATATAAAGAAGGCAAAATTCTCACAACGTTTTATTAAGTATGGTAGATTTTATGACTCCCAATTCTTTTTTTAAAAAAATAAACACTTTTCTTTGGTGTTGAGTTTGTTTTCCTTCTTTTCGTTTTGGCACTGGGGATCAAACTCAGGATGTTGCACCTGCAAGCCAGGCTCAGTGCCACTGAACTAAATCCCCAGCCTTTCCTTTTTCTTTTAAAGCTAGATCTCACTATGTTGCCCAGGATGGCCTTAAACTCCTGGGGTTCAAATTATTATCCTTCAATTGCAGGTACAATAGGCTCAGCTCCCAATTGTCTTTCTTTTGGATTTTTTCTTTTTTGGTATGGGGATCGAACTCGGGTCCTTGTGCTTGCAAGGCAGGTGCCGGAACCACTGAGCTAAATCCCCGGCCCCTCTCTTCGATTTTTGAGCAGAAGCAGCCACCTTTCACTTGGGCATGGTGATAAAGATTTGTAATCCCAGCTACTGGGGAGCCTGAGGGAAAAGGATCACAAATTTGAGGTCAGCCTGGGCAACTTAGCCAGATTTTGCTTCAAATTAAAAGATTCTGAGGAAACGGTGATGCCTGCAGTTTTTGAATTTTCCTAAAACCTCACATTAAAAAGAGGAAGTTAGGCCATGTGTGGTGGAGCATGCCTGTAATCCCAGCACTGGGGAGGCAGAGACAGGAGGACTGCCTCGAGTTCAAAGCTGGCCTGGGTACATAGTGAGTTAAGGGCCAGCCTGAACTATAAGGCGAGGTGACCCTGTCTCCAAAAAAAAAGTAAATAAATACAATAAAAAAAGAGGAAGTTAGCTGGGCATGTTGGCACATGTCTATAATTCCAGCACTCTGAGAGGCTGAGGTAGGGGGATCTCAAATTCCAACCCAGGCTGGGCAATTTAGCAAAATGCAAAATTCAGGGAAAACCATTTCACTAGAACTCAATCTGAGTGTTTTACACAGAACTGTTCTATACCTGGATTGTGTAAATGGCCACACATCTAAACACACTTATCAAACCTGCAGAATTATGGATTAAAATTTGAATTTTTAGGGCCGGGGATTTAGCTCAGTGGTTCCAGCGCCTGCCTCGCAAGTGGAAGGACCGGAGTTTGATCCCCAGTACCAAAAATAAATAAATAAATAAAATTTGGAATTTTAGGCCTGGGGATTTAGCTCAGTGGTGCTGCCACCTGCCTCACAAGCGCAAAGTCCCGAGTTCGATCCACTGGTACCAAAAAAAGAAAAATTGGATTATTACATGTAAATTACACTTTCATAAAATTATATAAAAATCAAATTCTAAGAACCCCCTACATAAATAAAATTTGGAATTTTGGGGCCGGGGATTTAGCTCAGTGGTGCTGCCACCTGCCTCACAAGCGCAAAGTCCCGAGTTCGATCCACTGGTACCAAAAAAAGAAAAATTGGATTATTACATGTAAATTACACTTTCATAAAATTATATAAAAATCAAATTCTAAGAACCCCCTACATACCAATATTAATCTTTATAGTATATTTCAATGTTGAATACACACCTCTTTATCATCTTCAGATTTCCTATCATCCTCCTCTTCCTCTTCTTTCTCAGATTTCTCTAATTCCTTCTGTTCTTCTTTTTGTTCTTCTACTTTAAGCTGTTTTGTCAAACGAGCTATTAACTGGGATTTTAATCCTTTGGAACTAAGAGCTCGACTTTCTAATTCTTTTCGGAGATCATTTACCTAAAATATGGAACATAAAAAAAAGGCACATAAATAAACTATAATGATCTCTTATCTGACTTTAAGAAATCTGGTAAAAAGAAACTTGTACAGTTCATTCAATGTTTGTAGAAATGGAAAATGATAGAACATTGTTGGAAAATAACTTGAAACTTGTTTTGAGATGCTTAAATTCTTTTTAAATACTTTTACCCAATAATTTGTATGTAATAAATGTCATATATATAATATATAAATATATTTTTAAAAATGGTGCTGACAGAAATCGAACTTATGGCATAAACCATGGTAGGCAAACACTCTACCACTGATATATACCCCACATCCCTAGACCCTGACCCACAAACTGTAATTTCTGAGAATTCACTTAAAAGAAAAATCCTGCACACAAGAGGTGGAAAAAATAGATCTATGATAGACATTCCCTCCAAAAAAGTACAGAATCTAAATGCTCAACAAAGTTCAGTAAGAAAAATCAGTAAATTAGATGAAATAGTATAGAATTTAAAGTAATGGTTAACTGAAAAGGATGAGATGACAATTTCTGTATACAACATGACAGAGTCAATCAACCAATTACAAAGTTTACACCCAGTAAAAAAGGAAATGGACCTGGGTGTCTGTAACCCCAGCAATGAGCAGAGCTGAGGGAAATGGATCTCAAGTGCAAGTCCCACCCAGTTAATTTAGTGAGGCTTAGTCTCAGTCCAATATGAGAAAAAAAGAAAGAAGAAACTATATCAAAATTTCAAGTGATAATGTTTGATAAAAAGTGTGAGTAACTTTTTCCCTGCATAGGTCATTTAAAAAATAAGCAGGTACTATATAACCAAAAGGAAGTTTCAAATGACTGCCAGGCATGGTAGTGCACGCCTATAATCCCAGCACTCGAGAGGCTGAGGCAAAAGGATTGCTTTGAGTTTGAGGCCAGCCTGGGCTACCTAGTGAATTTATCAAAGCTAGCCTGAACTATATACCAAGATTCTTTCTAAAAACACCAAAAAAATGGGCTGGGGACTTAGCTCAGTGGCACCGTGCCTGCCTTGCAAGCACAAGGTCCTGAGTTCAATCCCTGGTACTGGGGAAAAAAAACCAAACCAAAAAAAAAAAACCCACCAAAAACCCTATAGTAGCAAAGCCTTCATCTAACTGCCTGTATTTCTCAATCGAAAGTATTCTAGGCTGGGGATTTAGCTCAGTGGTTTTGCCACCTGCTGTGCAAGTGCAAGGACCTGAGTTCGATCCCCAGTACCCTCCCCCAGAAGTATCCTAAATGAAACCTGGTATTGGCAACTTCGAAGTAATGCAGTAAGAAGAAATGCTCTTCTTATACACATTCTCTACATATTAAGAAACAATGTGGGCCAGGGACTTAGCTCAGTGGTGCCACCACCTGCCTTGCAAGTTTAAGTCCCGAGTTTGATCCCTGGTAAACCCCCCTCCCCAACCAGGAATATAGTTTTGGGTTTTGAGACAGGGTCTCACTATGTAGTCCCAGCAGGTCTTGAACTAGTGGTGATCCTCCTTCCCCAACCTCCCAAGTGCTGAGATTATAGGTATGGGCCACCATTCCCAGCAGAAATATAGTTTTAAGAGTCATGGTTCAGCTCAGTGGATAGCGCACGCCTGTGATCCCAGCACTGGAGAGGCTGAGGCAAGACTGCAGTGAGTTGGAGGCCAGCCTGGGCTACGTAGCAAAAAACAAAAAAAATCAAAGGTTCAGCTAGACAGGTATGGTATGCCAGGTATGTAGCATGGACTACATATAAGTCTCAGTGACTTAGAATGTGAGTTCACAGGACCACTTGAGCTCATGAGTTTAAGACCAACCTGGGCAACATAGTGAGACTGTCTCACCCAGAAAAAAAAGGTAGTAACGAAGTAGAAAAATATGTTCCCTGCTCAGAACAGAAGTTAATCAAAAAGTATTGTATACCTAAAATGTACCAATAAACTAAATGGAAAAAAAAAAAGAAGGTTAACCAAAGGTCAATTTTTTTGGTACCGAGGACTGAACTTGGAGCCTTGCGCTTGGCAAGGCAAGTGGTGGAACCACTGAGCTAAATCCCCAGCCCTCCAAATGTATTTTTAAAAAACTGTTTTCTTTCTTTGTTGCTGTTGTGTTTTGAGACAGTCTCACTAGAAGGCTATCCTTGAACTCCTTATATAGCACAGGCTGGCCTCAGGTTGGGGTCATTCTCTTGCCTCAGTCTGCTGAGTTGCTGGGGTTATAGGTTTTTACCACCACACCCAGGGAGATTACTTTTTATGTTTCGTTTTCCCCCTGAATTTAAATTACTTAAGTACTGACTTCCAGGAAAGTTCCCAAACCAGAAAACAACACCACTGTCACTACAGTCACTTCCATATCACAGGCATTTGATAGCTACTGGTTGAAATGATTTATAGACATCTTTTAACTTACATATATGTAAATATATGTGAACAATCAGGACCCCATCTCAAAATAAAAATTAAAAAGGACTTGGCCACTACCTGTTTTTGTAAATAAAGTTTTATTGGCACGTGGCCACCGCGCCCCCCCACCCAAAAAGGACTATGAATGCAGTGTGGTACAAAGGTCCTAAATTCAATCCCCGGTAACACAAAACAAAAAGCAAAATAAGAAAAAACAGAATGTATACAATCAGTGGACTGCACCTTGAATTTTTTTACATTGTTCTAGGAATTGAACCCAGGGCCTGGTACATGCTGAACAAGCACTCTACCACTGAGCTCTATTCACAGCTCATCTTCACTGATTTTTATTAGAAACAATATGGTTCTCACTCTCTCCAATTATTCATACCTGTTCAGAGACTTCAAATTAAAAATCATAATATTCAAATTTACCTTCATTGTCTTTGGATCCAGTTTAGACCAATGAGTAGGTGTAGAAATCTCTTTAGCTTCACCATCATCCTTCTCTTCTTCATCCTAATATACAAAGTTAAGAACATAATTACTATTCTGAAACCTTAAAATAAAAGTAATTTATTTTTAAAAGTTTGTTGCTGATCTGTGCAAGGTCACAAATGTTTCAGATTGTCTTCTCCTAAAGTTATTATTTAGGCAAGTCCACAGACATACACTCTACCACTTTTAACTGATCACAAAGACACTCATCAGCCAATCAAAGCCAGATCTGTGAAACACAAAAGGGTCATAAATTACAACACAAAGGATATCAGGGATGCACAAACACTGCCGGTCTCCACTAACCACAGTGTGTGATCTTGCCCCAATTTTCAAGCCACCCCAAGACTGATTTAGTCAGACCTTTGAAATGTACCAAAGACGTTGCCACATAGCCTGAAATTCCCAATTTCTCAGACTTGTGGTTGTCCAATTTCAAATATCCATGACTAGAACTGATCACCGTGAAAAAGAAAATTTTTTAAATTTGAGAAAATGGCAAAATGCTTCAATGGCTTAATACTGAATCTTGTTCAACAACTGGTCCCAGATTCCAGCAACTAGACCTATGGTAAAAACAAAGTTCTGTGCAATTTAAGCACACCTTATTTTCCTTTGAGGTCTCAGCACTCTTAAAGTCAGCGTAATAGACAGGTTTTTTTAAGAGAGAAGAACATACAACTACTCTGCTGAAAGCTGGTTACCAGTCGCTGTGAGCAGCTATGCTCCTCCGTGTGTGTGCTGTGTAGTGTGTGGTGTGCATTGTGCCTGTGTTCCTGTGCCTGTGAGAAGCGGGAATAGAAAAGGGATTAGCGTTCAGTGCCTGTTCTCCATCAGCCTCCTTGCGTTCACCCTGAAGTTTCTCCACCAGCTGCTGCTTGTATCCTCGGGAGAGGGTTTCCCACTCTGAGCGGGTGGGAAGGCAATGCCAAACATCCGGGAAAAATAAAACCACTGTCTCCACATGAGCTGGAACTGTACGCCCCTTGTGGGTCTCCTCAGGGCGATGGTAGCGAATCTCTGCAAAACGGTACCTGTTGCAAGGGAAGAAGCATGTTGGAAAAAAAATTCTAAATACATTTAAAAGATCCTAGTTCACTTGTAGCACATCAAGTAAAGAAATTTTGCTGCAAGAACTTGAGGTTGGTCTAAAGAAAAAAAAATTATAGAAGCCATAGTTCCTCTTTTGGTACATTTGTAGAATATTTTATTGGTTAAAGAAGTATGTTCCCACAAGGCATGTTCAAGTTTGATTACAGAGCTACCCATGTTTTAGAGAATACCTGGAGAAGCTGGATAGCTGTTCAGATTTCATGTGCTAAAAAAGAATATTCTCCATTAAGTCACAAGAAATACTGTATACTAAAATGCACAGGACAAATAAGCCTCAAGAGAAAATATGGCTGAACAAAAATAATCAGCAACTATATCATTTTATAACAAAGATTTATAATGAAATGAAGTTCTCTCTTGACGATCTTCTCCAGCTATACATGAAATGAAAAATATTTTCAACATACATCCAAGTTCCAAAGTACAGCATAACAAAACATTTAAGTTTTCCATTTATTTTGATTAGTCTTTTATTCTTTTTTCCCCCAAACAATTTGGGCACCAAATAAACTTTTGCTACAAATGGGGATTTCCTTTGAGATTACCTGCACAACCAGGGATGTTAAAAGTAAGGGGAAAAGGCTGACAAGAATAGCTACGTACTCTATCAGAAAAACATTTCTAAACAAGAAATGAATTGGTACTTACCATTGTGTGCATACACTTAGATCAATGCCTGTCAGAGCCTTACAACAACGAATAGCAGTCTTAATCAACACAGAGGGGTCTTTTTCTGGGTCTGGTCCATCCAACGAAGGAGACCAGTGCCCTCCAATGGCCATGGCTTCATCCTTGCCTTTCATGCCCACTAAAAACTAATTCAAAACAAAGAATCATTTCCATATATCATGTAACTGGTTAAATTACAAATAAACACTTGAAAGGGAAAGGTACAAACCTTTCCAGTACCAGTTTTACTACCTCTCGTATCTGTCAGTCAAGGAAGAGTTCAGTTCATCGTGTTCCACACTGCATTTCAGCAATGGAATAGGATTTACACATCATAACTCATCCCTCTAAAATATTTCTTCAGATAAGAGTTCTTTTAAAGAAATAAACTATAATTCAAACTTTAACAGCATCCAGACACTCTAAATCCCATTATCACTAACATTTTTACCATGCTACAAATTTAACACATCAAACTGAAAGTTGACTTTTAAGTTATATGCAAATAAGATATAGTGATAATCTGCAATGAGAAAACATCTACATTATTAAATTGTGAGTACATTAATAACACTAAAATTATTAAACTAATCAACAAGATTAAAAATGTTATTTTAAAATTTTATGTACATAATGAAAACTAAATGAATATACACCTAAAGTTAAAATAAACATTTCATTTTACCTTAACAAGTCTAGCAGGATGTTGAAATCCATCCCGAAGTTCTTGTGGGTCTTCAGCAAGAGCACATGACTTATGATACAAATCTTCCATGCTAGGGCTAGCCATCAGCATTACCTATTATAGTCAAATAATTCAATCCTGTCAAAAGTCTAAAGTAATGTAAAGAAAATGAGAAGTACTACTAATTAACTTTACATATAAGCTATCAGATGTTTTTAATAAAAATGGAATGTAAAGTCCTATAGAAATAAAACTGTCATTAGATACCCTATAAACTTTTAACTTTCCAAGGGATGATTTCCCCCCACCAAGGGATGATTTTTTTTAATCAATGTTTGAAAACTGATTGTGGGGCCTGGGATTTAGCTCAGTGGCCCATGTCTGCCTTGCAAGCCAAGGTCCAGAGTTTGATCCGTGGTACCAAAAAAACCCAAAACCCAAAACCCAAAAGAAATTACTGACTTTAAGGCATACAATGAATGTTATCCTGAAGACTAGCATTTAGTGTATCCCTCTCCCAACATAAGTTTTATCAGAGGCTACAGGAAGTCAGATATCATTCAATAATGAAGTTTTCATGAAATTTAACAAATTAAAACAATAGCCATTATTTGACAGCTTATGAGGTGAGATAGAGGTTAAATTAAATACCTAAAACAGAAAACAGATGCATTCAGATCTATTACCTAATAACCACTTTCTAAGGAGTAAATCTACTTATCTTATATGAACAATTCTAAGAAATGCAAGCTGTATAACACATTAGAATACAAACCTTTGCACTATATAAGTGGTCAGCATCTGGAGGATCAAGAACAGCCATGTTTTTTTCTAAGGACTCTACTTCTCTGTGCATTACATAGAAATTGCAGTAATTTCCCAGCTGAAATGGTCTTGACAAAGGGAAAGCATCCACCCACGTAAACTGAGCATCAAAAAAATCACTAGGTATGTATAAATTCTGATAACGGCGCCTTAGTTCCATCATGTCACAACTACGGCTGAAAAACAGACATGAGTAGTGAATAAAGAGCCTTAACATTAAACGTTATGCAAGCATTCACCGAACTTGGAAGTATATTGTAATACCCTGAAGTACTCTGAAGTATCAAGAGCCTGATACACTTAAAATGCAAGCTGGAAAGGACAGTTAAATAATGCGTTACACATTTTCACAGAGATGTATGAAAATCTTATTTTTATTATTTCTATACTCATAGCTTTGAATAAGTAGTATCTAAGTGTTACACTGACTGTTCTATCTTTTGGGTGAAGCTTACAATTCATTAGTGAAAACTCTTTGAAATTAAATAACTCAAAATCCAGTTCCAGAAAAGATCTGAACAAAAGCAGTTCTGCCACAGAACTACATATTGGGAAAATTGTACTTCATATAAAATGCATACAAAGAAGGGATGAGCAGTACCAAATTAGTACATGTGTGTCCTTCAAGCAGGTTTTACACAGTTTAACACAGAAAAATAAAAATTTTATTTAGCAGTAAGCACCTAGATTAAGCATATTTAAATTGAAAATTAAATACAAAAGTCCATGTGAAAGCAAAATCAAACTGTGTTTTGATTGTCCACATCTCCATCCCTCTAGGTGAATGATATAGAATCCGTATCCAATAATTATGTAAATAAGATAGGATTCTTGCCTTTTAAATCTGGCACTGGTATTTTATTATTAATCTTTTGTTTTGTTTTGTTTTGGTACTGGGGATCGAATTTGGGACCTTGTGCTTGCAAGGCAGGCAGTGGAACCACTGAGCTAAATCCCCAGCCCTGATATTTTATTATTTATTTATTCCATTACTGGGGACTGAACCCATGGCCTTTGCACTGAATTTCATTCACAGCCCTTCTTAAATATTTTTATTCTGAGATAAGGGTCTCCCCTAAATAGCTAAGCTGCCTAAGCTGGGCCCAAACTTGTAATTTGCCTGCACCAGCCATCTACAGTGCTGGGATTATTAGGTGAGTGCAACCATGCCTGGCTTGGGAGTAGTACTATAAAGGATGATTTCCTTTTTCTCAAGAAGCAAAACTTTAGAAGTTCAAAGGACAAAAACTCAAAGGTAAACCAACTTGGTTAAAAAGTCAAGAAATGCCAGGCGTGGTGGCACAAGCCTCTAATCCCAGGACTCAGGATGCCGAGGCGGGAGGATTGCTTGGAGTTTGAGCCTGAGCTCCACAGTTGAGTTCAAGACCAGTCTAAACTACATATAGCAAAGACCCTGCACCAAAAAACAAAACAAAAACAATACAAAACAAAACCCCCAAAGCCAAGCAATGTTTGTTAAAAGCATAATGAATTAAAGTGGAAAATGTCAACAATTTGTAAAATCAAAAATTATCTACATTGTCTTTTGAAAGCCAAGTGGAGTGGTACAAACCTATGTCCCAGATTCTGAGGCCAGGGGTCACTTAAGCTCATGAGTTAAAGACCACCCTGACTGCAAAACAGACCTGGTGACAAATCAAAAACAAAAATCCTCAAATAACAATTTTTTTTTTGTACTGAGGATCGAACTCGGGACTTTGAGCTTGCAAAGCAGGTGGAACCACTGAGATAAATCCCCGCCCTCAAAAACCTAAAATAATAAAAAACTGAACTAATCTATATGTAAAGATGTCTTTGACAGAAAGAAGAAATGAAAAACGTGAGGGATGTAGCTAGCTCAGTAGTAAAGCATTTGCCTAAAATACACAAGACCCTGGGTTTAACCAACAACAAAAAACAAAAGAAATATAGATACACTTTAATTGTGGTTGCTGATATGACTATACTTTATTTGGGATAAGATTCTGCTATCAAAATGATAAAAACAGGAAAAAAATTGGGTTTTGTTTTTAAGGAGAAAAGTGTGTGATAGTTTTCAAATATTGTATTTTTTACCCTAGAAATAAAATCTATACTAAAAGGGAAGAAGTAAGTACAAATAGCATTACTTGGGGCTACCAGCTCTCACAAACATGTAAGAAAGTTTTGTTTTGTTTTGTTTTTTGAAATGGAAGTGCTGCTATATTGGTCTCAAAATCAGAATCCTCACAACCTCAGCCTCGAAAGGAACTAGGAGCACAGAAGCATGCCTTATACTGCTTCCAGCTAATACAACGAAATTTTGATTTAAGTAACTCCAGATGAGAAAGGGCATGGAAACTTTAAAATGATTTTTTTTTTTAAGGTACCGGGAATCGAACTTGGGTCCTTGCGCTTGCGCAGCAGGCGGCGAATCCACTGAGCTAAATCCCTGACCCCTTTAAAATGATTTTTACTTACAATGAGTTCATTTGATGTTCGAGGACTTTACTTCACAGTGGTTAAAGTGAAACTGTGGAAGGAGCTATTTCATTTCATATCCTATATATCAAGTCCTCCCAGATAGCATTTAAGAAATGAGAACAAATGACTTAAAAAACAGAATTTTTCAGCTGGGCATGGTGACCCACATCTGTAATCCCAGTATTCTGGAAGGCAACAGGACTCAAAGTTTGAGGCCAGCCTGGCCAACTTAGTAAGACCCAAAACCCTGTCTCAAAATAAAAATAAAACAGAGCTAGCTCAGTTGTGAAGGCCCAGTAGTGAAAACAACAAAGATAATAAACAACAGGGCTGGGGATTTAGCTCAGTGGTTTCGCTGCCTGTTGTGAAAGCGCAAGGGCCTGAGTTCAATCCCTGGTACCAAAAAAAAAAAAAAAAAAAAGATAATAAACAAAAACAATGAGAACTTCTCTATTTAATATCCTTGGAGTTGGGAAAGTGATTTTGATTCCAATGGATTTCTCTAGAATATGAAGACTAGATATTTTAAGTGTAAGAGTAAACAAAGATAACAAAAGAACTGTAAATTATAGAGTACTGATTTGACCATAAGCAAGAGTAAATGAACACCAGTTGGTGTAATTAAGCAAATATAATTAAGCGAACAAAATTATGCAAAGTTAGCAGATAAGATATTCTTAGGCATTAAGTAGCTTAAACAAAATACATTTGCATGCTACATCTATAACTGAACATATAGGAATTTTAACTTCTTAGCCAGTATTATGAATATTAACACTGTACTCTGTTGAAATATAGCAGTATCTTCTCAGGTCACTACGATGCAGTTATGTGTGGCCAAGCTAAACAGCTTTGAGATGACTTTTATTTTATTTTTTTAGACTTTTAAAGATTTTTACTGTCAAGCTGGTTGTTCCATTTATTACACTATCAGCAGTGGTTGCTATCATAACCCACTACCAACATTCATTATGGGGACTCTCTGCCACACACTGGATTAAGTGCTTCACAGATATAAATGCACCTAGGGCCAGAGATTTAGCTCAGCAGCATCGCGCCTGCCTTGCAAGTGCAAGGTCCTAAGTTTGATCTCCGGTACCAAAAAAAACAAAACAAAACAAAACACAGGCATGAATGCTCCTCATATTAATTCTGCAAGCTCCTGCGAGATCTCAGCGATGAAGCTCAGAAATTCCTGGTAACCTGAGCCTTACCCACTAATTACAAAAGCTCAGTAATGTAATTAGACATATGTAGACAAGTGTGTGTATTACACAGGTCTGAGTGTCTTCGTAAGTCTATGTGTGGACACTACACTATACTGACACAGCTAAAACTGAAAAAATTGGTTCAAGTTGTATTACTGCTCCATGCCATACAAAAGATTATTCGTGAATTTAAGTCATCAAAATAACTGCATCTTGGGGCCAGGATTTAGCTCAGTGGTTTCGCCGCCTGCTGCGCAAGTGGCAAGGTTCCCAGTTCGATCCCCGGTAAAAAAAAAAAAAAAAAAAAATCTACATCTTAATGATGCCAACTTTAAGAAACAATTTTTGTCACAAAGGAATTTCCTCTAGGGCTTCACTTTTCAATGATTGGTACCCTAAGTGAATGTACACAAATAATGAATGCACCCTTGCAAAAAACTAAATTGTGACTTCAAATTTCACTTATAGCCTTAAGAGTAATAAATATCTGTGAATGAATTGTACAAGAAAGCACCCATGAGTATAATACTCTACACCAAACCAAACAGAATTATGAAATTAATAATTCAATCAAACAATGCGAGGAAATACAGAAGAACCTACCAATCTAAAGAAAACTTGGAAAACTGCACGGTGTAACGTGGAACAACACGTCGAACTCTCCGAGGTGACCGTTCTCTCTCTCTTCGGGGAGATCTCTCCCGGGATCGCTTCCTCTGAGGTGATCTTTCTCTGGATCTACGTCTTTCTCTTTCTCTTTCACGACTTAAAGCAAATTTTTCTAACATTACTATATTTTTGGTATTAAGGTAGAGTTCTTTAAAAAAAAAATGTAATAGGTAATTTAAGCAAAATTCCACAGTATAACTGATTCACTTCTTAAAACTGTGGTTAGGGCTGGGGATCTAGCTCAGTGGTTCTGCCACCTGCCCCACAAGTGCAAGGACCCAAGTTCGATCCCAGGTACCAAAAAAAAAAAAAAAGAAAACAAAAAACAAAACAAAACTGTGGTTAAAACCAGGGATGGTGGTGCACACCTATTATCCGAGCACTTTAGGAGGCTGAGACAGGAGGATCAAATGTTTGAGCTCAACCTGAGCAACTTAGCAAAACCCTATAACAAAACTAAGAAAATTAAAAGAGCTGGGAATGTAGCTCAGTACAAAAGCCCTGGGTTCAAACCCTAGGGCTGCCAGCAAAAAGAAAAAAAAAAGAAAGGGCTGGGGATTTAGCTCAGTGGTTCTGGCGCCTGCCTTGCAAGCACAAGGTCCCGAGTTCAATCACCAGTACCAAAAAAAAAAAAAAAAAAGCATAAAACATACAAATAAACATAAAATTTACCTTTTAACTTTTTTTTTTTTTGAAACAAAGTCTCACTATATAGATCAGGCTGGCCTTGAACTAGCAGTGATCCCATCTACTTCAACCTCTCAAATGCTGGGATTACAGGCAAGCACGACCATGCCTAGCTCTTTCTAACCATTTTGTGGCGGGGAGTAACTGGGGATCTAACTTGGGACCTTGCGCTTTTCAGGAAGGCGGGGGAACCATTGAGCTAAACCCCCAGCCCCTTTTAACCATTTTTAAGTGTACAGATAAGTGATATTAAGTACATTCAATTCTTTTTGTGCAATCACCACCACCCAGAGTATTTTAAAACATACCTTCGGTCATCTTTTCTATTAGGCACTTGATCCCCTCTGTCATTCCGTCCCGAAAATCTAGATGGTGGATCTAACCTTCGTGCTGGCTGTGGCTGTGAAACTATACGAACAGGAGGCTGCAATAAACCAGCTTAAAAATACACAGAAAAAGTATTTTAAAAACTTGTTTAAAGAAAAGTTTAAAAGCACCACCTTTTTGAACTTGATAAAATGACTGAGACTCACTAAGTTTGCTGGTTTTTTCCCCTACTTTCTAAGCAGGGATAGAATTAGGGATTGAAACCATGGCTGCTGTCAAACTGAGTCTCTCTCTCGTGCGCGCGCCCTAAAATTTTATTTTGAGGCAGAGTCTCACTAAATTACCTGAGCTCAGAGTTGTGATCTTCTTGCCTCAGTTTCCTGAGTGCTGGCATTACAGGTATGCCATGCTTAAAATTTTGGGGGTGGGGGGTGGATTTTCAAGACAGAGTCTCACTATATAGCCCAGGCTGGCCTCAAACTAATGGTAATTCTACTTCTTCTGCCTCTGTATGCTGGCATTATTTGTGTGTACCACCATGCCTGGAAAAACTGTTTTTTTAAAGTCAGCAGAATATATAAATTAGTTTGAAGAACAGGAGTTGTTTTTGGGTTTTTCTTTTTCTCCTGGTACCAGGAATCAGACTCAGGACCTTGTACTTGCCAGGCACAGCACCACTGAGCTAAATTCCTGGCCTCAGGAGTTGTTTTTGATGAAGTCTTCCTAGTATTATACATTAAAACTACAAATTTCATTTAGAAATAATACAAATATTTTCCATTTAGGAGAGTACAAGTCTGCCTTCCTTAGAACAATGCAAATTTAAAATCATGTATTGGCAGATCTAAGTATTTTTAGAAGAATAACTAGAGTAAGTAACCGAGTCTTTCATGATGTTAGATTAAAATTTTCATCCCCCTTTCAACATTTCATCAAGCCATAAGGATTAAAAAATTTTTTGTTCTATCTGTGCTGCGTGGCACAACCTATAATCCCAACATGAGGGAGGCTGAGGAAGGAGGACTACAAATTCAAGCCCAGTCAGGGCAACCTAGCCAGACCTTGTCTAAAAATAAAAAAGGGCTACAAATGTAGCTCAGAATTAAAGGATGCTCCTGGCTTCAATTCTCAAAATAGCCAAAAAGGTTTTTCTTTAAAACTGCTCAATGGGGGGCTGGGGATTTAGCTCAGTGGTTTCACCGCCTGCAGGTGCAAGGACCAGAGTTCCATCCCCAGTACCAAAAAAACCCCACAAAAAACAAAAACTGCTCAACCTTGGGACGGGGGATAGAACTCACTGGTGGACTGTTTGTCTGCCATACTCAAGGCTGGGTTTGATCCCTGGCATGGGGGGAAAATGTTAACTGTGTCTGAAGTAAAGAGAACTATTAAACATCATGGGAAATAAGCATGACAGATAAAGCACTAACACGATGTACGAGAAATTTACCATCTCTCAGCTAGGTCCCTATTTTTCTGGCACTAGTCTATGATGAACACATTAATTCCCTTACGTAGCCTAGTATAGAGTCTGTGTCTGAATTGTTGCTCTGAAGCTTGTAGCAAGAAAATCTCTCAACTACTGTGCTTCCAAACAAATTAGTTATAAGTCTGATTTCTTATTATGAATGGAAAAATGTATATGTCAGCAGGATTCTTATGCTTCTTTGATACTTAAAAACATTTAGAGCATCAAGAAGAAAACAGGTGGGTCAGTGGTGTACACCTGTAATCCTAGCATTTGGGAGGCTGAAGAATGAGGTAATTCTGACTGGAGACCAGCCTGGACTGCACAGTCTGCTTCAAACTGTCTCAAAAATAACGAGGGAGAGAGGGACGGAGGGAAGAAAAAAAAGAAAGGGGGAGAGAGAGAAAAGAAGGGCAAGAAAAGGGGGAAGAGGGGGAAGGAGGGAGGGGAGAAAGAAAGAGATGAGAAGAAAAGCCGGGAGGAAGAGGAGAAAGGTAAGACGAAGAGAGGGACAGCTGGGCAACATCTATAATCCCAGCTCCTCAGAAGGTTACAGCAGGAATTTGAGTCCAGACAGAATAGAGAACCTCTCTCAAAATTTTTTAAAAGGGCTAAGAATGTAGCTCAGTGCAAAGGCCCTGGTTTCACTCCTCTGTACTAAGAAAAAAGAACAAATAGGAGTGTGGGCTTCTTAAAGTTTAGCTCAGTGACAGACCACATGCTTAGAAAACATTTCAAGCACTAGCACCAAATAAATAACTGAGAATGGGGGAAAAACTATTTCTTATATTAAATACTACTTAAGTCATCTTTCTGACCTTCACTGCTGAAGGTATTAGTCACTGAAAGACATTCTCTAGCCTTCCAACAAATGATCAACTGAATACTTAAAACTCCACTGAAATCAACCCCATCTTAACTTACTTTTTTCCTAACATTTTTTTGGTACCGGAGATGGAACTTGGGTCCTTGAGCTTGCAGGGCAGGTGGCAGAACCATTGAGCTAAATCCCCGGCCCTTTCTAACACTTTTTACACTACTCTCATTGTTCATATTAATTACAACCAAGAACCTGGGACACATCAATACCAGAAATACCGCTTCCAGGGGTCCTCCCACAATTTATTTTTTTCCCCCATTACTGAGGATTGAACCCAGTGCATTCTACCACTGAGGTACATCCCTAGACCTTTTAATCTTACTTTCGTTCTAAGACAGGGTCTCATTAAGTTAGGCAGACTCAAACATTCGATCATCCAGTCTTAGCCTCCCTAAGAGCCATGGTGCACAGCTGTGGTTTTTTTTTTTCCTGGTAATGCTGAGGATCAAACCCAGGGTCCCAGGGATGCTAGGCACACAGTGTACTACTGAACTACATTCTGAGGTCCTCCTCCTATATTTCTTCTTTAAAAAAATTTTGAGGTAAATGCTCCTATGTAGTTGAGCCGGTCCTCCTGCCTCAGCCTCCTGAGTGCTGGGATTACAGGTGTGCACCACCACAACCAGCTACAAAGTTGTATTTTTTTCTACCTGAACAGTGATTATTTATAATCTGCTTTATGACTTTGCTATGTGCCACTACTTAATGAGTAATGTTTTCTATCATTTTACTGTGTCACTAATTCAAAATAAGAGAGAAAATGTTACAATTCCTTAAAATGCCAGTTAGATAGGCTTCTTTTAGACAAACCTATTATTTTAAATAGTGTCTGTAAGAAAATATCCAGAATAGCAAGCAATCACTTTGCAAAGGAAAATTTAAAGCTTGGTTTATTCATTTGACTTACTACGGTTCAATGAGTAATTTAAAGCATTACCACCAAATTCTATGTGTATGTAAAATATTCCAGGTTATGTTCATAAGAAATAAGTCTCAAAAAGATGTTCTCCAATAAAGATACCAACGGTGTATGTGTGCATGGCTACATGTGATGCAGGCCTATAATTCCAGCATGTGGGAGGTGGAGGCAGGAGGATTGCTGTGAGTTCAAAGCCAGCCTGAACTACCTGTCTCAAAGCAAAACAACACAACATGGTGGGGAGGGTGTTAATATATTTGGTATTTAAATCCACAAAGATTTTTGTAATTCACAGGAATTTTCTATTCACTGAGTTTTTGTCTTTTTTGAGACAAGGTCTCGAGCTGGAATTCAGGCTGGCCTTGAATTTGTGGCAATCCTACCTCCGCCTCCCAAGTATTGGCATTACAGGTATGGGCCACCACACCCACCACTGAGCTTATTTTTATCACTAAAATCAACTTTAAAAATATTTCCATATAGCTTACAGAAGTAGAAGACATTCTACTCAGGATCTTTAAACTTCCTTTCAAGTTTTCTCTAAGTCCCTGACTCTTTTGTAATTAAAAGCACACTTGCTGGGAATGTAGTAATGAAACGGTAGAGCGCTTGTCTAGCATATGTGAGGACTGGGGTTCAATCTCCAGTACCATAAAAAAAAGACAGGACAGGACAGGACAGGACAGGACAGGACAGGACAGGACAGGACAAGACAGGACAGGACAGGACAGGACAAAACCACCAATGGCTAACAACCTAGGTTAAACCAGCAAGCACAGATAATGCACATCATACCTTTTTGCTGTGGCTGCTGGAGTAAGGGCTGTGGCTGCGTCTGCAGCAGTGGTGTAAGAGAAGCGGCTGAAATCTGTGCCTGCAGCAGAGACTGAGGCTGGGGCTGAGCCTGAACTCCAAATGTTGTCTGTGGTGCAATTGGCTGAAGTACAGCAGGAGGAGTCTTCAATAAAGGTTGGGTTTGGGACTGATTCTGGATATAAAAAAAAATTTTAAAAATTTTTAAGAAAAAAAATTCATAGTGAATTAGATAACTCAATTACAAAACTTCTACAATATCTTAATTCAAAATTGTACCTGATTTGGTAGTGTCTGAATTCTTTGAGCATTCCATTTAAAAGGCATATTAGGATTGTAAGTAGCTTCAACCAATACTCGATCACCCACCTGGGGAGTTTTCCCTTTGACAGCACTGAAAAAAATAAATATAAACACAAGTAAAAGAGATTACCCCCAAAAGATTTATACACAATTTAAAGTGACTCTCCCCAAAAAGATCTTTAGGCTGGGGATGTAGCTCAGCAGCATCACACCTGCCTGGCAAGGGCAAAGTCCTGAGTTCAATCTCTGGTACCAGAAAAAGAAAAATCTATATATTTGGTATTTTTAATTTTTTTTTTTTTGGTACTGGGGATTGAACTGGGGACCTTGCACTTGCAAGGCAGGCACCGGAACCACTGAGCTAAATCCCCGGCCCTATATTTGGTATTTTAAAGTATACTGTATCTAGGCTAGGGATGTAGCTCAGCAGCACAGCACCTGCCTGGCAAGCTTGATGACCTGAGTTCAATTCCTGATATCAGAAATAGAAAGAAGAAAGAAAAGACAAAAAAATAAAGTATACTGCATCTGAAATGGAAGTCTGGAAAGCTCTTTTTAAAAATAGAACAGGCCGGGGATTTAGCTCAGTGGTTCTGCTGTCTGCCTCGCAAGCACAAGGTCCTGAGTTCGATCCTTGGTACCAAAAAAATAAAAGTAAACAGATCTGGACTCATTTGGAAATGATCATATAAATTCTCTGTATGTGAATAGCTGTTTTTTTCTTTTTGTTGTGGAATACCAAGGACAAAACTCACAGCTTTTCACATGCTAAGTGTTAACTATTTTCAGCTCCTTTTTTTTCTCTAGTACCAGGGATTGAACTCAGGACCTAGTGCTTCCGAGGCAGGCATGGCACCACTGAGTTAATTCCCCGTACTTCTTTGTATTTTTTGTTTTTAGTACTGGGGATCGAACTCGGGACTCTTGGCTTGTGAGGCAGGCGACAGAACCACTGAGCTAAATCCCTGGGCCCTCTTTTTATTTTTTGAGACAGGATCTTGCTAAATTGTCTAGGCTCACTTCAAACTTATGACTCTCCTGCCTCAGCCTCCCCAGGAGCTGAGATTTTAGTATTTTGCCATCAACTCCAAGCAAACACAGAGTTAGAAACACAAAAAATGACTTGTTACTTCACATTCTCCTAGTATTACGCTTCATTGTATAAACAACTTTCTGATATAACTCAAGAGTTAATTTGCTTTGGTTTTCAAAAAAAAAAAGACAAATGGAGAAAAAAAAACTCTGGAAACTTAAGTTACAGAAAAATCTTGTATGATAATTTCCCAAATATAGTACTTCTTAAGGAAGTTCATCAGAAATACACTAGAAATATGTCTTTAATCCCAGTACTCAGGAGGCTGTAGCAAGAAGATCAAGAGGTCAAGGCCAGTCTGGGCTACATAGTGAGTTTTGTTGTTGGTGTTTTTCTTTCTTTTTTGTCAGACAGGGTCTCCTTATGCAGCTCAAGCTGGCCTTGAACTCACTATGTAGCCCAGACTGGCCTCCAACTTGCAGCAATCCTCCTGCCTCAGCTTTTGGAGTTCTGGGGTTATAGGTATGTGTCACCATGTTCCACTAGTTAGTCTGAGACGAAACTGATACACAGTGAGGCCCTCTTTGAAAAACAAACAAACAAACTTGAAATTTCTGAAGAAATTTGCATTTCCTGTAACCATCACCAACTTATCAAAGTACTACTGTTAATGTTAGCCTCATAATCATTTAATCCTATTAATTTTGTAATAAAGGGCCAGAGATTTAGCTCAGTGGTTCTGTTGCTTGCCTTGCAAGCACAAGGACCCAAGTTCAGTCCCTGGTACCAAAAAAAAAAAAAATTCTGTAATAAAAAACTTAGATTATTAGAGATGTCAAACAGAAGATTAGATTTTTAAAAGGCATGTATTTCAGCCATTTATCTCAGTCTGTCCAAGAATCTTGTTAGATACGCCACCTACCTGCAATAAAACATTTATGAGGAATTGACCATAATTACTTTGTTCAATAATCAAGCTATGTTTGTTTGTTTTTTGGTACCGGGATCGAACTCTGGTCCTTGCAAGGCAAGTGGACGGAACCACTGAGCTAAATCCCCAGCCCTAATCAAGGTATTTTTAATCACATTCTCCATCAAATAACAGGTACACTGCCTGGCAAGCAGGAGGCCCTAAGTTCAATTCTTGGTACAAAAAAAAAGTACAAATATAATCTAACTGATTAAACACAAACTGGTGAGATGTGGAGCACACCTGACATCACAGCACTCTGTGAAGCTGAGGCAGGATGGAAAATTCAAGTCCAGTATGGGCAACTTAGCAAGTCCCTATCTCAAAATAAAAAGTAAAAAGGGTTGGATATAGTGTATGTAGCTCATTTCAAAGGCCCTGAATTCAATCCCCAGTACAAAAAAAAAGAGAAAAACTAGAAAATTACAATCTTTGTCATTAACCAAGTACTTTACACTAAATTCAAGAAACTTTCTGCCAACAGCTAATGAAGTTTACCTCAGCTGAAAGAATACATCTTCATCCACAAATCCAAAGGTATCATGTAGCTTTGTAACAACTCCTGTGAAAACACGTTGCTTCTGAGGTTGGGTCTGTTGTTGACTGGATCTTGGTGTTGGATAGGATACAGTTATCTGTGCTGCAGGCTGAGGAGTAGACAGGCTAAGGCTTGTAGGGAGTGCAACCGCTGGCTATTGAAAAAAAAATCAATGGGATATTAAGGTAATGACTTGAAATTGTCTGATAATTACAAATTGATTCTTCAGCACAAAATGTTAAAAATTTCTTAACGTGATGCTACAAAATACTTATGTACATCTCCAAAGTGACAATACAGTCTGAAAAATAAATTATTTTAAATATATTTCATCTGGAAGTTTCCTTATTTATTTCCAGTACTGGAGATTGAATCCAGGGGCAGTCTACCGCTGAGTTATAGGCCCAGTACTTTTTGTTTTATTTTTTATTCTGAGACAATATCTTGATAAATTTGTCCAGGCTGATCTCAAACTTGCAATTCTGCCTTAGCCTCCCTTAATGCCTGGATTATAGGTGTGTATCCTAGTTCTTTTCTAAGGTTTACTTTTCAATGGATATGCACTTTATTTTTTAAAAATAATTTACTTAAGACAAAGTTAAAACACAGAGTAAAGCTACTCTGTATCCCTGTTCCTCAGCTAGTCAGTTCCTGTCTATGAAAAAAAATCATATCACTATATATTATCATGGGGCTTCCTGAAAATATTCTATTTAAGTATGCACACATACAGATAAAAATAGACCTCTTTCCACAATAGAAGCCTGTAATACACAGTATACCATACATTTTCTTCTACCTCATATGTGAAATATTCCATGTATGCATGAAAGTTCTAAGGATGGCAGTGCAGCCCAATGGTATACTCAGGGAAGCACAGCACTTGTGGGGCCCTGGTTTTTCTTTATTAAAACAGGGACTCCTTGGGCTGGGGATTTAGCTCAGTGGTTCTGGTGCCTGCCTCACAAGCACAAGGCCCTGAGTTCGATCCCCCGCACCGAAAAAAGAAAAAACCAACAACAAAAAAAAACAGAGTCTCCTTGAAGGGCATGGTGGCCAACACTTATCATCACAGCACTGAGGAGGGTGAGAGGCAGGAAGATCGCTCAGAGGAAGGCCAGCCTGGGCTACATAGTGTGTTCAAGGGCAGCCTGAACCACATAGCAAGACCTTGATCAAACAAAACAAAACAACAACAAAAACCTCCATAAAGATGCACTATGTACAGTAGTAGTTCAGGCTGGCCTTGAACTCACACTGATACTCCTGCCTTAGCCTCCCAAGGGCTGGGATTACAGACACTGCACCAACACACCTAGCTAGGTGCAGGTTTTGATAACCCCAGTACTAAAAAAAAAGTTCCACTTCCTTTTAACAGCTGCAGTGTTTCATGTACAGCCCACCCGTCAACAAATTATGGCCCACACGTAAAATCCAGCCTACAGCCAGTTTTTGTATATTTAATGAGAAAAGAATTTTTTTTTTAGTCAAGTGTAATGGCAGCTCTTTAGGAGGGTGAGGCTAGAGAAGACTGCAATTTCAAGGCCAGTCATAAGACCCCATCACAAAAATTAAAAAACTTATTACAAGGAGTGGTGGCACACAACTATAATCCTAGCACACAGGAGGCTGAGGCAACAGGATTACCCCAAATTTGAGGCCAGCCTGGGTTATATAGTTAGTTCAAGACAAGCCTGAACTACACAGGAAGACCCACCTTAAATAACAAAAGCAAAAATAAATCAAAAGGGGTGGGGGTATAGCTCCGTGTTAGAGCACTTTCTTAGCATGCTCAAGAACCTGGCTCGATCCTTGTTACCACAGAACAGCATGCTTTTTATGCACACACTCCTCAGGCACTGGGGATTGAAGTCAGGGCCTTGGCACTAAGCTACATTACCAACCATATATTTTGGGGGGGGGGGGGCACCAGGGATCAAACTCAGGACCTTGCGCTTGTGAGGCAGGCGGCAGAACCACTGAGCTAAATCCCTGGCCTCCCCTTTCTATATTTTGAGACCGAATCTCACTATGTTGCTAAATTGCCCAGGTTGGGCTCAGACCTGCAATCCTCCTGTCTCAGCCTCCCACAGTGCTGGGATTATGGGCATGGACCACCACACTGGGGCATTTTTTAAAGGGTTGTAAAGAAAAAGTATGAAACAGAAATACTGATGGTACTAAATATCAAAGGGTTAAAACTTTTTATGTGTGGTGGTAAGGACCAAACCCAAAGTCTTACACATGTTAAAACATGTGCTCTAGGGCTGGGGATTTAGCTCAGCGGTTCCAGCGCCTGTCTGGAAAGCGCAAGGTCCTGAGTTCAATTCCCAGTACCAAAAAAAAAAAAGTGCTCTACCTTTTGGGCCATAGACCCCCAATTTCAAACCTTTTAAATGTGGCCTGGGGATGTAGCTCAGTCGTACAGGTACAGCACTTGCCTACCATGCATGAGGCCCTGGGTTTGTTCCCCAGCACAGTATAAAAGCCAAAAACCAAAACCAAACCAAACACTTTTTCCTATTGTGGAAGAATTAAACTAATGATGAAACACAGTAACTTCACCTGCTTAGGTTAAGCTAGAAAAGAAAAATGAGTGTAAACAATTTTCCAAAATGCTGGCTATAAAGAGGGTTAGGAATATAGCTCAGTAGTAGAGTGCTTACCTAGCACGAGATGGGCCCTGGGCTCAATGCCTAGCATCCCTCATCAAATGTAAAGAAAATAAAAAGTATCTGTACTAAGTTTAAAATAAGATAAACTACAGAAAAATCTCAATCAAAATATATAAACAGGTGCATGTTCCATTTTCATTTAGCAACATACTGCTAAATTATTACAAATACTGTTTCTTGGTGGAGGGCATTACTGGAAATTGAACTTTAGGGGCTTGGACTGAGCTACAGCCCCAGCTATTTTTTTTATTTTGAGGCAGGGTTTCATTAAGTTCCTAGCCCTGGGTGGCCTTGAACTCACAATCCTCCTGTCTTAGCCTCCTGAGGGGTTAAAAGCATGAACCACCTAAGAAATAACACCCACAAAAAATGCATAATTCCCTGAAGCAGACTAATTCCACTATTAATTATAATGGTACCGAAAAAATTCAGTATCAATATGCTAAAAAAAACCTACAAATAAAACTTTATTTGCTCTTCATTTAGATATCTAAAAGAAATAATGTAATGCCATACTAACCTGTGTTAAAAGGGTCTGCTGGGGTTGCTGTAACTGAAAATAGGCCAAAAAAAAGAAGAAAAATATACAAAAGGATCAATCAGTTGTTGTTCCAGATGCTTAATAAAAGGAAAAATTCCTATTAAACATAACCTTACTTTTAAGAAAAAGATGAAATGTAACACATGATTTGGTGTAAGGTAACCTACAAAAAGTAGGTATTATACTAAATGATTCGGTATATAAGTAACTCATTAAATAATAGCCACTTAGCTACATTATTTTTTAAATAATGAAATCCAATTTTTCCTTTTTTTTGAGCTGGAACCTCACTAAGTTGTCCAAGTAGGGCTTGAAGTCACAATCATTCTGCCTCATTCTCCAAAGTACTGGTATTACATGCATGTGCCACCACACCAGGAATTTTGTTGTGTAGTCCAAGCTTGGCTTGAGCTCAGTATGTAATCTAAGGCTTGTCTCTTATCTCAGCCTCCTAAGTAATGGGATTACAGGTGTGTGCCACCTTATCTGGCTTAGTAATTGATTGCTTTTTTTTTTTTGAGACAGAATCTCAGTATGTATTTCAGGCTGGCCTTGAACTCAGTAGCAGCTCATCCCTGCTGGCCTTGAATTTGTGGTGATCCTCTAGCCTCAGTCTCCCCAGTGCTAGTATTACATGTGTGCACTAATACGTTCAGCTAAAATTGAGAAAATTTTGTTCATAAAAATAAAAAAACCCCACAATTCCCTAAAGGAGATTGATTCCTACTTCCACAATGAATTACACTACTGAAACTGATTCAGTATCAACAATATGTTAATTATATAAAAATAGCACTAGCTATCCAACTCATATATATGCTTAAAATGAAAACTGCTCCTAATGGTCAGATTTACCACAGAAGTACACACCATAAAGAACCATACACTTTGACACAGATTCTCAGCCAATAGCAACTCTTTTACCAGAAAAGGAACAAGGGGAGGAGCTTAAAAACTTGGTGTATAAACTGGACATAAGTGAGGATTACAGAACTTATATGTAAGGTTTTAACTAAAATACTCAGCTAGGGGCCAGGGATTTAGCTCAGTGGTTTCACCAACTGCTGTGCAAGCACAAGGACCCGAGTTCAATCTCCAGCACCAAAAATTAATAAAATAAAATAAAATACTCAAGCTTATGTGATATCACTATGTATTAGAGGTTGAATCTTTCTTTTTTTTTTTTTTTGAGACAGGATCTCACTGTGTAGTTTATGCTGGCCTCCAATTCACTGGGATCCTGCCTCTGCTAGGATTACAGGCATGTGCTACCATGCCCCACCTAGAGGTCAAATCTTATCAAAATACTATGTTTTCTAGCTGGGCATGGTGGCGCACACCTGTAACCCCAGTCCTCTGGGAGGCTGAGACAGGAAGATATCCATTTGAGCCCAGCCTGGGTAACTTAATGTAACCTTTTCCTAAATACTAATCTAAAAGAAAAGGTAAAAGAAAAAGAACAAGAAAAAGAAAAAGAACAAGGACCTAGGATGTAGGCTCAGTGTGAAAGCGCTTGGTTCAAATATCAGTAACACAAAACAAAAATAAAAATCAGGCACAAGGACCTGAGTTGGATCCCTGGTACAAAAAATAAATAAATAAATAAAAAGAGGTAGGTATAGGGCCAGAGATTTAGCTCAGTGGTTTCACCGCCTGCTACACAAGCACAAGGACCTGAGTTCAATCCCCCGTACCAAAAAAACAAAACAAAACAAAAAAAGGGACAGCTTAAAAAAATAAAATAAAATAAAAATCAACTATTTTTCTGTAATATTTGAGTAGTATCATTTTCATGTGGTTCAATGAGTCTACATCTTACTCCAGAAAAAATGTTCACCATCAAGAAATCAAATAATGGCTGGGGATTTGATTTAGCTCAGTGGTGCTATCCCTGCCTCTTGAGCACAAGGTCCTGAGTTCAATCCCCGGTACTCCAAAAAAAAGAAGAAAAAAAAATCAAATAATAACATACTGATGAGGTTATGGGAAAGTTATGGGAACTACATTGTTGGTGGGAGCGCAAACTAGTACAAGCACTATGGAAATCTGTATAGAGATTCATCAAAAACTAAAACTAGAAATTTCATTTGACCCACCTATTCCTCTTCTAGCTAACTTCCTAAGAGTTACATTACATATTACAGATATACATGCAAACTCATGTTTCTAGCAGCACAACTCATTATAGCTACATCTTAGAAGCTGTCTATATATCCTTCAAAAGAAGAATGGATAAAGAAAATGTGGTTTTTACACACAATGAAGTACTACTCTGGCATAAAGGATAAATCTGAATCCTTTGTAGGAAAATAGATATACCTTGAAACGTTACATGAAATAATGAAATAAATCAGATATACCAGTTTAAATATCACGGTTCTCTTACATGGGAATTCCAAAGTATAAATAGAGTAAAATAGAGATAACAGGAAACGGGTTTTACAGATCGTTTTACAAATGGGAAGGGGATCTAGAGATGGAGGAAGGAGGGAGAAGAGGAAGTAAAAAGATGTATTATCTACACGTACCAATTCCCCATGATAAATGTAACCATTATGTACTGCAAACATGTACTAAATTATTTTTTAAAAGTATGAGCCTGAGGGTTATTTTTTCTGACACTGGGAAGTGAACCTAGAGCCTCTCACATGACAGACAAGTGCTCTAACACCAAGCCATACCCCCTCAGTGCTCTGAGGATATTTTAAAATAAACAAGACAGGTGAAGCCAAGTATGACAGCACACGTTTGGCATTCTAGGAGGCTAAGGCAGGACTGCAAATGTGAGCCCAGCCTAGGCAGGTTAACCAGACCGGACGGCTGGTCGACCGCACGGGGGGGGGGGGGGGGGGGGCCCGCCCCGCGCACGTGCATTTGGGGATATAGCTCAGTGTGGAAGGACCTGAGTTGATCCCCAGTACCAAAAATAAATAAATACAAATACAAAAATCCCTACAAAAAGACAGCAAGTTTTAGATCTCTTGCCAGTTTTCAGAAATTTAAAGTAATTACTTCAAATTACTCAGCGGGATACTGTAATCTTTAGAGATAACAAAAAGGTTCTGAAGCCCCACAGCACTTAGCTCCTGTTCCTCCACCCTACCTTTGGGTCCAGTTTCTGGTCTTTCTCTTATATTCTCTTTTCCTGTCCTGACTACTGTGTGTTTTTGAATCAATAACATCTGTTGTGTGATGCAGGAGATTGAGCCCTAGGCCTCATGTATGCCTGGGAAACTACTACTTGCACTACAGCCACGGTCCCGCCTCCCCCTTTTATTTTTTGATTGAGTCAGGATCTCACTCAGTAGCCCAGGCTGCCCCTGAAATCAATCAGGAGATATTCCCATCTTCCGAGTGCTGGGATTACAGGTGTGTTCACCCATGCCAGGTTCACAGCTCATCTTTGGTTTTTGTCTTTTTGAGACAGGATCTCCCTATGTAATAACTCAGGCTGGTCCTCAACTCACCATATGGCCCAGGCTGGCCTCAAACTTGAGGCCATCCTCCTGTCTCAGCCTCGTGAATCCTGGGATTACAGGTGTAAGCCAATGTGTCCAGCTCTCACAGCCCATGTTTTGTTTTTTTAGTTTTTGGTGCTGAGGACCAAATCCAGGGCTTCATGTTAGCTAGGCAAGTGCTCTGCCACTGAGGTAAATCCCCGGCCCCTCACAGCTCAAATTCTTAAAAATGTTTTTGAGAGAGGGTCTGGCTATGTTGCCCAGGCTGGGGTGTCATTTCTATATTCCTTCAGCCGTCCAAGTAGCTCTGATTATAGGCAAGGACCACCACATGGAGCTCTTAAAACTTAATGGTACTGAGGCAGAGTCAACATTATTTCCTAGCCACAGACAAGCCTAGAATGAATGCCTAGGCTAGAAACTGTCTAAATTCTAGCAGACAATTTTCTAGACAATTTGTTTTGGGGTTGTTCTTATCTCTTCCTACTTTATGGATAGAAGAACCTGAGGTAACGACTGGAAGCTGAATCTAAGGGAAAGAGGTCAAAGAAACTTGCTTTTACCTCAGGAGTTTCCAAACTGTTCACATGTGCCTTGAGGGCCAGGGATTTAGCTCAGTGGTGCCACTGCCTGCCTTGCAAGCGCAAGGTCTGGAATTCGATCCCCAGTACAAAAAAAAAAAAGCCTTGAGAACAGGGAGGTGAACTATAAGAGGACATATCTTCCCCTCTTTTTAACAACTCTATTCTATTATTTTCTATATTGAGTTTTTATACATAATTAGAAAAGGGGGGGGGGAGTATTCTACTAAAGAACAAGGGCTGAAAGCAAGTGGCCTAGGAAAAAATTAGGCTTTAAGTGGGAAAAGAAGCCTTTCACTTTCACATAAAATCTAGTTCAGTAGAGTAGATGCAGAGGTCCAAAGACTCAGAATGTTTTTCTCCAGACTATCTTCAGCATGCTTTCTTAGAGATATAGTATGTGAAAATTCTAGCTAGTCCAGGACTCAGGATTTTAGGGCCACCCTCCTACTTCCCTCTCCTTTAGGGGTATTCCTTTTTCCCTACTCCTATTCTCTATCCCCTCCAAAAAAATTCAAATCACTTATTATGGTAGCTGATAGGAATAAAAACCAGTATCAGTTGAATTTTGGAACAAATGGCTATTTAAAAATCAGTTTTTAGCCAGGCATGGTGGCACATGCCACAGCATTCAGGAGGCTGAGGCAAAAGGATTGCTGAGAGTTGGAGCCCAGTCTAGGTTACACAGTAAGACCCTGTCTCAAAACATCAAAACAGCTGGGTGTATAGCTTAGTGGTGGAATACTTGTCTCAAAATAACAAAACAAAAACCCCCCACAAAAATACACACAAAATCAGGGTTTAACATGAAAAATATAAACTGACCTGTTGCTGCACACTATACAAGGCCTGCTGAGGTTGTGAATATTGCTGAAAGATTAAAAAAATAGATTATGCAAAGAAAAATACAGATATTAGTTTTATTCACTCTCAAAAAAGTGATACACATCCATAGAAAAAGTCAAAATTACACTGAAAAGAAACTTTCTACAACAGCTAAACTTCATCTAAAATAAAATGATTACTTATATCTGGAACCATCAAGAACTGAATTTTATTCAAATAATGTATAACTGTCTACTTAAAGACTGTGCAAGTATACTTCTCTATATTCTGGGCATATACACTGTAATCTTTATTACCACAAAAAAATAGGACAAACTCCACTTTTCTTCATTCTTTAAAAAATGGAAATAGCAACTCTAACTATCCAGATAGATCTTTCAGCCTTCTATGTCATATATTATAACCTGTAAATTCATGTGTTATGTATATATACCAACTCCCCACGAAACATGTAGTCATTACGTACTGAAAATGTACTTAATTTAAAAAAAAAACTTATGAATTCACCTGTTGCAATGCAGCTGCTGCAGCTGCAGCCTGTTGCTGCAATGCTGCAGTCTGTGTTAACTGATAGTTTGCTGGCGTCTGTGTGGTAAGGCCTGCAGCCGCCAGTGCAGTTTGCTGTGTGTAAAGGGTAGGAGATGCTCCAAGAAGGGATGGCTGCTGAACACCCAGTGCAGCTAGAATGAGATTAAAAACAAAGAAAAAACATCAAGATTACTTCCATCTCTTCCAGAAACATTTTGAGTGCTTAATTAAGCATCATAGTTGTCATTATATATTTAAAAATTCAAAGAACAATTCCAGTAATGCTTGTTTGAATTTAGCTGATTTTACATCCCTCCAGATCCCAATGTCTTTATAAGAAATGTTTAAGCTATGGTACATAATACTATTTCATAAAATTAAATTCAACAGTAAACTCAACCTAACTTACCTAGACTAAGAGGCTACAATACTCTTTAGTAAGTATTTTTAGGAAAATAGAAAACCAATTAGCATATTTTAGTGGGACCAGGTGATGCATGAACACCTCAGCACTAGGAAGGCTGAGGCAAGAGGATCACTGTGAGTTCAAGGCTAGCCTGGGCTACACAGTGAGTTCAAGGACTGTCTGAATTACATAGCAAGACCCTGTCTCAAAAAACCGGAAAAAAAAAAAAAAGTTTATTTTACTACTCTGGAATATATTGTTTTGGAATGAGAATGTAGCTCCATGGTAGAGCACTTGCTTAGGATATACCAAGCCCTGCATTCCATTATCAGTGCTAAGAAAGAAAGGTAGAATTTACTGGTTTATCTGCAAGCAGAGGAAAAACACATTAAAGGGCCGGGGGTTTAGCTCGGTGCCTCACAAGCACAAGGTCCAGAGTTCGATTCCCAGTACCAAAAAAACAACAACAAAACAACAACAACAACAAAAAACCACATTAAAAGACAGTGTTGCTGGAAGTAACCTATCCTTGAAACTTTCTAGTGGACAAAATTTTTAAACACTACTATTTTGCAGGCAAGAATTCCAAAACTTGGGACAGATATGGTAGGGCACACTTGTAATCCCAGCTATTTGGGAGGCTGAGACAGGAGGAGTGCAAGTGAGGGGCCAGCCTGGAAAACTTAGTGAAGCCCTTGTCTCAAAATAAAAAAAATAAGAAAGGCTAAGGATGTAGTTCAGTACTCCCTAAATTTAATCTGCAGTGTCACATTCCAAAATTATAAAATTTGGGCCAGGGATTTAGCTCAGTGGTTCCACTGCAAGCAGAGTGGTTCTTGCCTTGCAAGCACAAGGTCCCAAATTCGATCTCCAGTACCCAAAAAACAAAGAAACAAACAAAAAACAACTCAAAATTATAAAATTTAGCAGCAAAAGCAAAATTAGACAAATGGAGCCACATAAAACTAAAAAGTTGGGCCAGGGATTTAGCTCAGTGGTTCCACTGCCTGCCTTGCACTGCAAGCGGGAAGTCCCGAGTTCGATCCCCGATAACAAAACAAAACAAAACAAAACAAAAGTTAAGGGCTGGGGATTTAGCTCAGTGCTGCTGTGCCTGCCTTGCAAGTGCAAGGTCCTGAGTTCAATCTCCAGTACCACAAAAAAAGGAAAAAAGTTTAAGCACATTAAGGGAAAGAATTAAAAGTAAACCTATGGAAAAGGATAAAGTATCTCATTAAGAATTAATAACACCCACAGGCCAGGGATTCAGCCCAGTGGTTCTGCTGCCTGCCTCGAAAGCACAAGGATTCAAGTTTGATCCCCAGTATCAAAAAACCCCACAAAAAATTAGTAATACCCAAAATATATAAGGAATGAAAATATTAAGAAAACATAATCTGATCAAAATAGGCAAAGGATAAAATCAACCAGTCTATGAAAATACAAAACATATAATCAATCATCAAAGAGATAATGTAAATTAAACTGTAAGAGCCAGGCATGGTGGCACACACCTGAAATCCTAGGACTCAGGGGGGCTGAAGAAGAAGGATCACAATTCAAGCCCAGCATAGGCAAGTTATTGTTCTCTGCCAGCTTGAACCACCAGTGAGTGGTATAAGCCTGACTATCCCATGTACCACTGGTGGTACAAACATCTAATTAAAGATGGGGATTTAGGTCAGTGACACCACGCCTGCATCGAAAGTCCAAGGTCCTGAGTTTGATACCCAGCACCAAACCAAAAAAATGATCTAATCACTTGTATCACTTTTTACAAACCCACGTAATGATATAGTTAGACACGTACCACTGGTGGTTCAAGCCCTTCAGCAATTACAGCCCCTCCTGAACATCTACATCTTTTTATTTTTTTGGTACTGGGGATCAAACTTGGGTCCTTGTGCGTGCTCAGCAGTCATCGAAACCACTGAGCTAAATCCCCGGCCCCCTCCTGAACATCTTAAAGAGAGTTAGCAAGACCTTTTGTCCAAACAAAAAAAAGTTAAAAAGACTTGAGATGTAGATCAGTGCAGTGGCCACAGGTTCAGGTTCAATCACCAGTATGGAAAAAATAAAAACCATCAAGCCACTTGGGAAGCTGAGGCAGGACTGCCCTGAGTTCAAGGCCAGCCTGGGCTATACAGTGAGTTCAAGGCCAGCTTGAACTAGACAGCAAGACCATGTCTAAAACATAAAAAAATAAAACCAGCCAGGGATTTAGCTCAGTGGTTCTGGCACCTGACTCTCAAGCGCAAGGTCCCAAGAGTTTGATCCCTGGTACCAAAAAAATAAAAAAAAAAAACCCACAATGAGCAGGTGCAGTGCACACCTATATTCCCAGCACTCTAGGAAACTTCAGACATCACAAATTTGAATGCAGATGGAGCAATCTGGTGACTTAGACACTATTTCAAAAATAAACAATAGCTGGGTTTGTGGCTCAGTGGTGCAACCCCTCCCTGGCAAGCATGAGGCCCTGAGTTCAATTCCCAATACCACCCCCCCCCAAACAAAAAACAATAAAGCAGGGCGTGGGGTACACACCAGTAATCCCAGCACTGGGGACGATGAAGCAGGAGAATGGAAGTCAGCTCCAGGTCAACCTAGGCTATATAGTTCAAGGCCAGGCTGAACTACATAGCAACTTCATCTCAAAAAAACAAAACAAGGGCTGGGGATTTAGCTCAGTGGTTTCGACGTCTGCTGCGCAAGCCCAAGGACCTGAGTTCGATCCCCGGTACCAAAAAAACCCAAACAAACAAAAAACCAAAAAAACAAAACAAAAAAATAAAGAATAAACCATATGTGGTGGCCCAAGCTTACAATCCCAGCACTTTGAGGAGCTGAGGTAGAAGGATCTCAAATTCTACCCCAGCCTGGGAAATGTAGCAGGAAATGTAGCTCAGTGCAAGGGTGCTGGGTTCAATCCCTAAAACAGGGTAGGGTGGGAGTGGGGGGGTGGTATGTATTAGACAATGCAGACATAGAACATGTCCATCATCAGATGATATTTTCCCCCCTTTGGTACTGGGGAATGAACTCAGAGCCTCTCATAAGTATGCACTCCATGACTAACACTAAACAATATCCCCTAACATCCCTCCCCTACCTTTTTTTGAGAAAGGTAGGGCTCTGTAGTTCAGGCCAGCCTGGAACTCACACCCACCCTCCTGCCTCAGCATCCTAGATGTGTATTACCATGTCTGGCAGAATATTCTATTTATTGGACAAAGATTTTTTTTTTTGAGACAAGGTCTTGCTATATAGTTCAGACTGGCCTTGGACTCACTATGTAGCCCAGGCTGGCCTCTAACTCACAGTGATCCTCCTGTTTCAGCCTGCTGGGATTACAGGTGTTTGCCACCACGCCCAGCTGGACAAACCCTTAATTAAATCAGTGTTATATAGAGTGTTTTTTCCCTCTTTGGATTTTTTTTTTTTTTGGTACTGGGGATCAAACTCCAGACCTTGTGCTTGTGAGGCAGGAGGTGGCAGCACTGAGCAAAATCCCTGGATTTTTTTTTTTTTTGGTACTGGGGATCAAACTCCAGACCTTGTGCTTGTGAGGCAGGAGGTGGCAGCACTGAGCAAAATCCCTGGGCCTGTTTTTTCCCTCTTAAGCAATGGAGATTGAACCTGGGCCTCAGAGCTACCTCCCCCCGCCCCCCACCTCTCCACCTCCCTCTTTTTTGAAACAAGGTCTTCCAAAGTTGCTCAGATGGGTCTTAAATTCGTGATCTTCCTCCCTCAACCTCCTAAAGTGCTGGGACCACAAGCATGTGCCACCATGCCCATCTATTTTTATTACCTTTAGTGTAAAAGAAATTGAACCCAGGAAGTACTCTGCTACGCTGCCAGCAGTTTCCATTTTTAAATTTGGAAATAAGGTTTCGATAAGTTGCCCAGGATGGCCTGAAACTTACTGTCTGCCTGCTTCAGCCTCCAAATTTGCTGAGATTATAGATGTATGCCACTGGGTCCAGCTTATATATGGTTCTTTCAGTCTCAATAAACATAATGTCCTGCCAGGCGTGGTGGCCCACACCTGGAATCCCAGCTCTCAGGAAGCTGAGGCAGGAAGATCACCATGAGTTTGAGGCCAGCCTGGGCTACATAATAAGTTCAAAGCCAGCCTGAACTACATTATGAGACCCTGTTTCAAAAATAAATAAACAACAAACAAACATAATGTCCTAAATTGGTCATGGTGGTTTATGTCTGTAGTCCCAGCTACCCTGGAAGCTGAGGCAGGAGGATTACTTGAGCCCACAGTTTCAACAGCCTGGGTAATACAGCAAGACACATCTCAAAAAGTGGAAAAATAAAAAAGATAATGTCAAATCAGACAACAGCTCTTCCACTCTCTGAAAGTCCCCTAGAAGTGATAACTAATGCTCCTACTTACAGTTTCCTTCACCTACAACTCAAGTTAATCACTAGCCAATCCTGTCAGATAGCTGAAGATATCATTCTTAAATATGCCTTCTATTTTTAATGGCCTCTTTTTGTCAAATAAATTTGTTCACTTACACTGGGTGTGGAGACATACACCTATAATCCCAGACCTCTGAGGGATGAAGGCAGGAGGATGGCAAGTTCAAGCCTAGCCTGGGCAACTTAGCTACTTCATGAGATTTGTCTCAAAATAAAAAAAAAAAAGGACTGGGAATGTAGCTCAGTATGAAGGCCCTGGATTCAAACACTAGTATTACAAAAAAGAAATCTGTTCTCCTTTCTGGGTCTCAGTTTCTCATTGGTTAAAGAAAGGAGTTAGGATAGAATTTAGTTCAGACCTCATTCAATTAAAAAAAATTTTTTTAAATGGTCTTTGTTGGTTAAAAAAAATGTTCTGTTGGGATTAGGTGTAATATGTATCTAACTGCCTTGGGGGGGGGGAGAACCTCTGACAGAATTTGCTTGCTTCTGAGAATTAACTCTAATACTGAGATAATGAGTCAAAAGGCTTTACAAAAAGGCAAAGCCAGGCATGGCGGTACATGCCCATAATCCTAGCACCTTGGGAGGCTAAAGCAAGAGTATAGCAAGTTTGAGCACCCACTAGGCAACTTAACTAGACCTGGTCTCGAAAGAAAATAAAAAATTTAAAAAAGGGAAACTCATCACTCCATGGGTTCAAACCCTAGTACCATAAATCAATCAATCAATCAATCAATCAAAAAACCAACAACAAAAACGTAAGGAACAAAGTTAATCAAACATTCAAGTAATCTAAAATAAAGCTCCCTGGGGCCGAGGATTTAGCTCAGTGGTGCCACTGCCTTCTCTGAGTTCCATCCCAGGTACCAAAAATAAACAAACAAACAAACAAACAAAGCACCCAGAAAACAGGTACTTTATTCAAAACAATTATCACTGGAGAGTTCCATTTGTAATCTACTTCACGATTTTTAAAGGAAAACCAAATTAAGATACTTAGAAAACACCTGTCTAGTTACTGAAGTATCAGCAAAACTTTAGCTTGAGAAATTCTGATTTATGATATGCCTATAAACATTCACAAATAATTTCAAACAGCACAAATATAAGCTCTGTTTAGAAAATCCCATTACAGGGGAAGGGGAAAAGAATTAAGATGTGTTATGTACCAACTCTCCATGATGAATGTAATCATTATGTATTTCAAATATGTACTAATAAAAAATTTAAAATCTCAAAAGTCCCATTACATATATTTGGAATCTCTACTGTCAAATACAGAAAGAGGAGACCTGTATTTGCTACTTACTGTCTTTAACAAGATTTATAAACTTCTGGTGTTTCTCTGCACAACCTTAAACTTAAAACAAAGGAGGCCGGGGATTTAGCCCAGTGGTTCCATCGCCTGCCTCACAAGCGCAAGGACCCAAGTTCGATCCCCAGTACCAAATAAATAAATAAATAAATAAAATAAAACAAAGGTCTGGCACTTGGGAGGCTGAGGCAGTTCAAGGCAAGGCCAAGACCTTGTTCTCCCACTCACCTGCATAAAGTCTGTAATTCCAGACCTTTTGCTAGAAACAGGAGGACCACAAGTTCAAGGCAAGTCTGAGCAACTTATCAAGATCCCATTTCAAACTAAAATAAAAAGGAGTTGGGATGTAGTTCAGTGGTAGAGCACCACTGGGTTCCATAACCAGTACCACAAAAACATGTAAGTGTATAACACACATTCAAAGAAGTACAATGCAAATATTGAGTATAGATAATAGAATTCTACCATAACAGCTATTTTATTGGCACATTAATGATATGAAGTGAAAATATATACTTTACAGTAAAAGCCAGCTAAAACATGCTTAGTACCGATGAATACAGAATACAGGAGGATGTGGCTCTGGACACACAATAAGTGCTTATAACTCCTGTTTCTATTTCATCAAAATTAAGTCAATTAGCTTTCCTATTATTTAACATAGAAAAGAAATAATTGGATGGAGATTTAGCTCAGTGGTTCCACCGCTTGTCTAATAAGCATAAGGTCCCAAGTTCAATCCCCAGTACCAAAAAAAAAGAAAAAATAAATAATTGGATGTAAATCAAATATGATCTAAGTGGCACAGGCCTATAATCCCAGCACTTGGGAGGGTGAGACAGGAGAATTATCTTGAGTTCCAGGCCAGCCTGGACTACACACCGAGACCCTATCCCAAAAAACAAGACAAAACAAAAAACCCCCTAAAATATACCTATGATATAAAATAACTATTTTATATTACTTTCAGTTGATTGAACAAAACTGTTAACCTTTATTTCCTCAAAAGTAAAATAAAAGTCAAGTGTGGTAGCACAGGCCTGTTAACCTCGCTACTCAGGAGGCTGATGCAGGAGGATCAAAGTTCAAGCCCAGCCTGGGCAGCTTAGTGACTTATGGACCCATCTCCAATTAAAAAACACACTAGGCACAATGACACACAGGACTATACTCACAACACTCTATAAGGCTGGGGCAGGAGGTTCCTAAGTTTGAGCACCGCCTTGCAACTTAAGAAACTTAGCAAGACTCTGCCCTAAAATAAAAAGGGCTAAGGATATAGCTTAGTGCAAAGGCACGGGGTTAAAAAAAAAAAAATGCTGCGGAAAAAGCTCAGTGCTGAAATGTTTACCCAGCATTCAGAAATTCCTGGATTGTATCTTTAGTTACCACAAAAAAAAAAAAGAGACAGAGTTATTTCAAGATTCAACCAACAGTCAAAAATGGTGAAAAGATTTTCTTCCTAATAAAACTGGGGAAACCCAGTAACAAAAGGGAGGGTGTGTGCTGAAACAGAGCTTAAATATTTTTCACTGACTTCAATTTGAAAACATTCTGCTAGCCAGGCATGGTGGTGCATCCCTGTAATCATAGCACCTGGGAGGCTGAGGCAGAAGGATCATGAGTTCAAGGTGAGCCTGGGCCACTTAGTGATTTCAGGGTCAGCCTGAACTACAAAGTGCGATCCTGTCTCAAAAAAACAAAAAGAAGTCCTGAGTTTGATCCCTGGTACCAGGAAGGAAGGAAGGGAGGGAGGGAGGATTCTGCTAACTTTATTTTGAAAATGCTAAATGTTAATGTTCATTTACTTCTTTTATAACTACTTATCTTTTTCTTTTAGTTAGTAATTAAATTCTTTAGAGTTGTTTTTTCTACTTTAAACAACTAGCTGGGCATGGTGGTGTGCGCCTCTAATCCCAGCACTCAGGAGACCCAGGCAGGAGCATCACCTGGAGTGGGAGGTCAGCCTGAGCTGTGAATTTAAAAGACTCCTGAAAGGGCTGGGGATTTAGCTCAGTGGTTCCCCTGCCAGCCTCCCAAGCACAAGGACCCAAGTTCAATTCCTGGTACCAAAAAACAAAACAAAACAAAACAAAACGATGCCTGAAGTCCCTGTCTCAAAAAAGTAAAATAAAACACCAACAACTAAACTTTCTACTTCCAAACAAAATCCAAAGTATTGTATAAATTTTCATAAAATATGGCTTTTAAATACAGTGGTACCTTGGTTCACAATTTGTTCCACAATTTTGGAAAAGATGGCCACATTTGTGCTTGTGCAGGAAAGATGGCTGCAGTAGTGTTTGTCACGTGATGCAGTTTGCAAACCAAACTGTTTGCAAACAAAAGGATTCATGAACCAAGGTACCACTGTACTTCAGTTTTAAACATCTTTGAATAATGATTCCTTAAAATGTCAAATAGAATATATACTCCATCTGGTGCTGAGAATGTAGCTCAAAGGTAGAGCACCCACAATGCACAGGCCCTAAGTTCAAAACCCAACACCAAGGGGAGGAGTGTAAGAGCACTTGCCTGAGGCCCTAGGTTCTAACCTGAGCAGCACACATAAAGATACTGTACCAGTTAAATAAAATTTAAACGCTGAATCAATTTATGAAATGTAAAAACTATAAAACCGCTGCTTGGCATGGTGTTCATGCTTGTAATCCCAGTTACAAAGGAGGCTGAATCAGAAGGATCCCAAATTTGGGTCCAAGGGGGAAATTTAGCATGACCCTGTTCTCAAAATATAAAAATGACCTGGGCAAGGTAATGCCTGCAGAATTATAATCCCAACACTCTGGGAGGCTGAAATAAGAGGATAGCAGGTTAGAATTCAGCCTGGACAACTTAGCTCAGGGTATGTAGCTCAGTGGTAGAGTGCCCTAGCTTCACTTTCCAGTATCACAAAAAACGAAAGACAAACTGTCCCAAACTGCTGGATAAACAGCTTTTCTGCTAGTTCACCTGTGAATTTTTAAAAGATCTTCACAAATAAAGGAGAAGTTATTTGCGAACCCTTTACCATGCCATCCATCACCTAATGTATATCTGCTGTTATAACAGTATCCCCTTTCAGGAGTCTGACCTGGCTGTGATACTGCAGTGGCTGTAAACTGAGTAGCCCATGGCGGATTCTTCTGTCCTCCAAACTGAGCCATGATGCAAAGGGAAAAACACCTTCACTTGTTTGTCTTCTACAGCAGCGATCTGCAAAAAAGGATTCACGTTTCCAGGTTCAACAAAACTACAAATATCACAACAGGGTAACTTAAAGAAATGGTTGGTGCGTCGAACACATCTTCCCAAGTTGAAATAATGAAATAGAAAGGAAGGCAAATGAACATCTGAAATGCTGCAAACAACATCGTACAACGACTAAATCACCCGGGTATCCTATTTTCAGGGCACTTACAAGAAAAACATTTAAATGGAAGATCCCCAGCTGTATCGACCCGGCTGAAAACAGTAAGTAGTTCACAGCCTTACACTCACAGGAAATAGAGCCAGGCGAGCTCTTTTCAGCATTAAGGTCTGGAGGACCAGAGAAGCGCTGAAGCCACTAACGGAAACGGGGACAGGACCCCCCAATACATATTTTAAAATATCGCTTAAATAACGAGTATCTCTACTTTCTCGAGTAAGAAAGTACCCGGAACCTTATTACTCTCTCCTCCCTGGAGGGGAAAGGCACCTAAGGAAGCGGGAGCCCCCCGCAGAACCCCCGCGAAGTCCCTCCCCTCTGGAGAGTCGGGACAGAGAAGGCGCAGATCGAGCCCGCGCGTCCGGGGTGGCGGAATGCACCGCCCAAGACACAGGGCGCAGCGCTCACAGCGGGATACGGGCTCGACTGTGAAGCCTCCGTCTCTGAATCCTAAGGGGGGGTTGACGCCTCCGGCCCGAGAATGAAGCCGAAGTGACGAGAGAGCGAGAGACGGCGGCCGGCAGGCCCGCCAGGCCGAGGCCGAGGGGCGGCGGTGGGGGAAGGGCGGGCCGCGCGGGGCCTGCTCCGACCCGCACAAAAGGGACCGCGTCCCTCCCGCCCCGGTCCCACGAGAGCCCCACCGTCGCCGGCCTGTAACCTCCGGGGCACCAAGAAGAGTTCCCAGCCGTTCCGTGGATCCGACAAGACATTAAGAATCCCACTTCGGCCGCCCACCTCTCCAAATAAGCGCTGACCAGACCTTCACCTGAATCGGGTCCCGGCTAACACCGAAGCCATTTCAAACCCGTCAGCCTTCAGCGCATGCGCCAACTTCCCCGTCTTCCTCCACGCTGCTCGCCCCGCCCCGTCTCCCCGAGGAATGGCGCTTACGCCTTGGCGTCTACGTGCGCGTTCCCCGAATCGCCTGCCGCGGGCTCGCTCCTTTGACTACGCAGGAAGAACGCAAGCGGGACTGAGAATTGCTTTGGTTTAACAATGGGCGGGCCGCATCTCTGTGCTAGCTCTGAGGGAGTCCGTTCTTGGGGGGAGGGGGGAGAGAAACGATGGTCACGTGATCCGGCCGCCGCCATTTTGTGATCTTTCTATTTTTAAAAAATCTAGTAATACTGCAACAGCGGATATATCCTGTGACATCTTAAGTATTTTTTCTTAAATTGAGATAAAACTCACTTACCTACAATTATTTTGATATTTTCTTTTTAGTCAGGGTCTGCCTATGTTGCCCAGGCTCCTTCCAAGTTCTGAGTCAAGCTTCTCAGTCTAATCCCTGTCTCAGCCTCTCCAGTGGTTGGGACTGTAAGGTTGTGCCACCACTCCGGGCTTTTTATTTCATTTATTCATTTTTGAGGCTAGCCTCTAACTCAGGTACTCTTCCTGCCTCAGCCTCCTAAGTGCTGGGATTACAGGCGTGTACCACCACGTCCGGCAGGAGCTGGAAAATTTTAGCGTACACAGTTGTGTGTCAGTATAAGGTTGTGCCGCTGTCACCATCAGTAGTATCAGAACCTTTTCATCAAAAAAGAAACCTAAGGACCGAGGATTTAACTCAGTGACGCAAGGGAAGGTCCAGAGTTCAATTCCCCGTACCAAAACAAAAAAAAAAAACCCTAAACCTTTTAAGCAGTAAGAATGACTAATAATTTTTCTTACCCTAGACATTCGTTTGTTCTTTGATGGGGTCTGTTACCAAGCTGTGGCGTCCCTTTAAGGCTCTTGACTTGTTCAAAGAATTGGACAAGGCAAGAAACATGAGATTTTACATTTACTAATGGTAAAAATAGGGAGAAGAAAAGAAGGGCTATAGAGTGAAGATGGGAAAAGAAAATCCACCCTGCAGCTGGTACCAGAGATCAAACTCAGGACCTTGTGCTTGTGAGGCAGGCGGGAGCATCACTGAGCTCCCCCGGCCCGACAGAGCAGGCCATTTGAAAGAGAGAATGCAGTGGGTAGGAGACCCGTGCATCTTATACCCTACTCTTCAGTAGATCATAGATGTAGGCTGTACTATCAGAACCGGCTCCATCTTGTAAGGTAGCATTTTCTGGTATCAGGTGCAGGGCTGGGAAACTTCTCAGCATGTGTCTTGGCCATGATTGACAGGTCATGCCCACTAATAAGCCGGTTTGCTACACCCTAATCTCCAGCCTCATTACTACCTAAGTAGTACAGACAAGCCTTGGAGGAGCTTAAAAAACAGGCTGGCCTGGAGCTTAAAGGGATCTTCCTGGTTCAGCTTCCCAGACGCTGAGATTTCAGGCATGCACTACCATGCTTGGCTTCAAAATATTTTGTGTTAAATACAATCATACAATATCGCGCGTGCATGTGTGTGTGTGAGTTCTTTGATTTGGCACATTGTTTTCAATGTACCTCCATAAGCATTAGTTACTAAGTTTTATGGCCAACATTACTTTTTTTCCCCTCTCATTCTCTCTCTACTGACGATTAAACCTGGGGGCCTCACTTTTTTTTTTGAGACAGGATCTTGGGAAATTGTGCAGGCTGGGCTCGAATTTGTGATCTTCCCACATAAACCTTCAAAGTAGCTGAGACGGGGACAGGGATTTAGCCCAGTAGCACCGAGCCTACCTCAAAAGATCAAGGTCCTGAGTTTGATCCCTGGTACCGCAAAGTAGCTGGGATAAAAGCATGTAACAGCGCTCCTGGCTACTGTTTCTTGAATATTTTGTGTTTCCAGATTTTTTTTGTTTTTGAGACATGTTTCTCCCTATGTATCCCAGGTTGGCCTTGAACTCCCAGTCACCCTCCTCCTGCCTTAGCCTCCTGAATTTGGAGAGTCCTGGGAATACAGGTATGTGCTACCCCAGTGGACAAAGTTTTTCCAGATTTAAAGAAAATCTTCCTATTAAACTCTCCACAGTTTATAGCAATTTGGTGGAGTATACTACTGTGAGCGAGACATAGTGATATATGCATGTAATCCCAGCACTCTGGTAAGCTGAGGCAGGAAGATCACATGTTCAAGGACAACCAGGACAGGTTAGTGAGATCTTGTCTTAAATTTTTTTTTTTCTACTGGGGCTCAAATTTAGGACCTTGTGCTTGCCAGGCAGGCCCTGTGCCGCAAAGCTAAATCATTTTAAGCTGTTTTAAAATTTAAAAAATAGATAAGTAAAAGGCTAGGGATGTAACTTGGTGAAAAGGTCCTGGATTAATGTCAGATGTGGTGGTGCACATCTGTAATCCCAGCATTTGGTGGGTTGGGGTAGGAGGATCACTGTCAGTATGAGGGCAGCCTAGGCTGCATAGATAGACCCTCTCTCAAATCAAAACCAAAACAAGCCATCAGAAAAGAAAAATAAAAACACAATCTCCTAGATATGGTGCTATGTGTATGTACTCCCTGCTTCTCAGGAGGCTGAGACAGGAGAATTGTTTGAGCCTTGGAGTTGGAGGCAAGCCTGGGCAACACTAGCAAGACCCTATCTCAAAACAAACAAAAACAAGAGCTGGCGATGTGGCCTATTGGTAGAAGCTTGCCTAGCAGGCACTGTGTTCAATCCTCAGCTGAACAACAACAAAAAAGATTTTAAAAGGGCAAGAGAAAAAGAAAGCATAATCTGAGCAAAAGACAATTTTCCTCCTCTGCAGAACATTCACGTACAACTTTTTGTTAGAACTGTTTTTAATCTAGATATATACTGTAGTACCTGGAATGGAATTCTGTATTATATGATAATTTGGCAATTCTACATTTAACATTTTGAATAACTGCCAAACTATTTTTTTACACCTTTTTACATCCCCAGAGGAAATATACCACATCCTTTCCAACAATTGATCTCTCTCTCTCTCGCTCGCTCTCTGTGATAAACAGCCATTTTCATGAGTGTGAAGTAAAATATCATGCTGGTTGGTTTGGGATTTTTTTGTACTGGGAATCGAACTCAGGACCATTCTCTTGCCAGGCAGGCACAGCACCATTGCGCTAAATCCCCAACCCCTTGCTGGTTTTGACAGTTTCCACACAGTGTGGTAGGTAGTACATGCCTGTAATCCTAGCATTATTGGAGGCTGAGGCAGGAGGATCACAAATTCAAGCACAGCCTGAGCAACTGTGCAATTGAGACAGTGTCTCAAAATTAGAGAAAGAAAATGGCTGGGGATCTATTTCAGGTCAAAGATCCTAGGTTCAGTCCTAAATACTACACAAATAAAATAGAAAAGATTTGCATTTCCACAATGTAAGTGACTAAAGCCATTGAGCATAATTTCATGTTTATTGGTCATTTGTAGATCTTTCTTGGAAAAATGTCTATTTAAGCCTTTTGCCACCCCCCACACCATTATTTTTCTTTTGGGGCAGAGTCCCACTATGTAGTTCAGGCTGGCCTCATACTGCAGTTGTAGCACAGGCTGGCCTTGAACTCATGATCTTCTTGCTTCAGCCTCCTAAGAGCTGAGTTAACAGGCTTGCACCACCAGTATTGGTGGTAAAATATATTCAATATTAAAATGTATCATTGTCACCATTCTTTAGAACACAATCAGATATGTGCACAGTGTTCTGTGACCCATCAGATCCCTCTTTCTCTAGAGGTGCTAAGGATTGCCCCAGGTCCCCATGCATGCCAGGCAAGCTCTTTACCTCTGAGCTCCACCCTTGCTCCAGGAAGTGACTCTAGTGTGTGTCTATTACAGAAAATCACTGATTAGTTCTTAGTTACTGTGGTTCATATGCTTCTCCAAGAGCACCAAGTGCACACTAAGAAGAGCGTCTCCATTCAAGGTGATGTGTACGACGGGCCTAGTGTCTGGGTCACACTTCGATTTTTGTTTGTGGCACTGGGATGGAACCTGGGATCTTGCACAAGACTAGCAGATGCTCTACTCTTGAGCCACGCCCAGCCCATTATCCTTTTTTGTTTTTTGAGACAAGGTCTCACTACGTAGTTCAGATGGCCTTGAACTCACTATGTACTCCAGGCTGGGCTTGAACTTGCAAGAATCCTCTTGCCTTGAGACTGTCTCAAAAAGCCAATCAACCAACCAATAAATAGGAATTAACCTGGATAAAGAGGTAGGTGAATTCACTGGTGACTACACAAGTTGGAAATTTCACCCTGTATCATGTAAAGATTTGAAATCCACTCAAAAATAGTTTTATAGGCAGTGGTGACACATTCTAATCCCAGCATGCAGGATGGTAAGGCAGGAGGATTGCTGTGAGTTTGAGGTCAGCCTGGGATGCACAGTGAGTTCAAGAGACCAGGGATTTAGCTCAGTGGTTCCGCTGCCTGCCTCGAAAGTGCAAGGTCCCCAGTTCGATCCCCCATACCAAAAAAACAAACATAGTAAGTTCAAGGCCAGTATGAACTACAATGAAACCCTGTCTCACCCCCCAAAAAGTTTTATAAAATAAATATGTATAATTTTAATGGGTCTCCATATGTTTCAGGGTGGCCTTTAACTAGAGATAATCCAGCCTCAGCCTCCCAGAGTATTAGGACTGCAGGTGTGTACCACCACCAGAGCTGGCTTCTTTTATGACAGAGACAGTTACTTATTTACAAACTTTTATGGTATTAGGGGCTAACCTGGGCCCTCAGCATGCTAGGTAAGCACTGGTGTGTACTTAGATACTGCTAGGAAGGATTGAGTATAAAGGGAGGGATTAAATTCACATCAGAGGGAAAAAGAAAGAACTGCAAAAGTGAAATTCCTAGGACCGGGGATTTAGCTCAGTGGCACAACAGGTGCCTCCCAAGTGCAAGGTCCTGAGTTTGATCCCCAGTACCAAGAAAAAATGGAAATTCCTG